TGTTTGATGTGGTCCTGTTTGGTATAAAAATTGTTGTGATTAGTTAATGTTAAAAGCAACAAACGTTCTCTCAGAAGTTCTACAAAGTAACTTCTCAAAAAATATCTTAATTTTTTTAAACAGCTTGCAAAAAGTGTTGTAGAATACATACAACTAAGAGTTTTTAGATACATTAAATAGTGCAAAATCTAGAAGGTTGCTACTTATGCCTGCCAATTATCAAACATACACACAAACTAAAAACATATTTTAGACGTAGACTCTAAAGCCAAATTACTAAACTTCAAAATTATAGGATTATGCATTGTGTCATTAACCAAGGATGCCAGTGGCTAGTGGGGGGTTGCTTGGTTCGGGTGAATGGCTGAATGCTGTGCTCTGTGGATGGAGTGATGTATAGCCTGAGGGTCCAGTGCCAGTCATTTATGGACATGCATTTTACCATATCGAAGTTTGTTTTTTCTGTAACTAGCTGGCTCTCAGTGTATTTATCGTGTTGTTGTACCGGTTTATGCCGGGTCAAGATAGTTTACACTGACCAGCTATGCGCTGTAAGTTATTAATGATATTTTACAAGTGTAGTGACGGGTAGTGCTGATAGTGACCATTCAGCTATATGCTTATCCCCGAGTATCATCTTAGTAATATTTTCGGGAAAAACTCTTTTTTCGTAGCTCTTTAAGAGTCAAAGTTCATCGTTTAAAGCTTTCCATTATTTCTCTACTTAATGACATTATGCAATGTTATTTATGCAGATCCAAGAGAACATGAAGGCTATCGATCTCATTCCAAAGCTGGCACCATTTATGGATAAGATCGAGTCTGTTGTTCAAAGCAAACCAAAGCGTCCAGATTCATATCGATAAGAAAAAAAAACGATTACCCTTGCCCTGGCTTTTTATCATAGCAATGTAGGGACTGTATATGCTGCGAACTGGATATCCTTACTCATACTGCCTTTGGCATTTTACTCTGTTTGAGATTTGAGTTGAGTTGACTGTTGGGATTTTATAGGTCTGTACTTTGTAATTTGTATTACTCTTTGGCTTGTTTTTGTGGATTTGTACCAGAACCGTCACGATGCTTTACCCTAGCCTTTCTGGGTTTACCATCAGTCTGGCCTCAGTTCTTGGTAGGGCTGGACTCGGGCCGGCAGTTCTGGAATGGGGGCCCCGGAACCGGCCTGGGTAATCCCCGGTTCCGAGCCGGGCCTCGGGCTTTGTTAATTTTTTTTTCCTTTTCCTAGTTAACCCCCAACCCCCCCACCCCCAAACCACCCCAAACCACCCAAAATACCCAGCCCAACCCGAAAAGTAAAAAAAAAATTGAAAAAAAAATTAAAAAGGCCCGGAACCGGGCCTGAACCGGCTGGGCTGGTTCATGATTTGGGGGACCCGAGCCCGGACCGGAACCCATGCGGGTCGGGCCTACCCGGACCGGTCACTGACCGGGCCGGGCCGGAACAGTGCTGGTTCCAGGTCGGACCACCCGGCCCGAGTCCAGGCCTAGTTCTTGGTTGGTTTCACACTTTCACACCTCATTATGTAATTTGGTTTTGTTCATACCGACTTGAAATTGAATCGGATTAAAATGTATTAATTAATCTGATTCAAAATAAAATTATTTGCCTGTACTATATTCTCAAAATTATATAAATCTGAACTAAATTCGAAATCAAACCTAATCAAACAAAAAATTCAATGAACTTAAAAAATGGCCATTTGAATCTGAACTAAAACAAACATACAGTTGGTTAAGCGTTAATCATTTTCCAATATTGGTATACGCAATAAATATACTTCTTTTTCCAGAAATATGCTATTAATATCAAAAGTAGTACTACGTATGTTGTATGCGTAACTACTTTGACAGTTTGACTAAATGGATGAATAAAATCAATATATATATATAAAAGAGGAACTTTTTAAGAGCATACAAAGCGCCACCTAATCATGCCATGTCATCCATCATTTAATTTTTTTAATATTCCGTATCTTTTTTTATTTTATTAGATTCTATTTTTGATTGCATATTGATATGGAAACAAAAGACTTTATGATAAAAATCCACCTTATTTGGAAACTTTTTCAAAACCTATTTAATAATTATGAAATTCATTAATTGGAATCACACTTATTAAATAATCAATCATACGAAGTACTTTTTATAAAGTACTTTTATAAGCACGTATAATTTTTTTATTATTGTTATACTTCTTATTTTTTTATTACATTTTATTGAAGAAATAAAGTATCTTTGTTTTGCCCACTTAACAGATAAATCAGTTCCTTAAAAAAATAGATAAATCAGCCAAATTGCTATTTATTTTGTCTTCAAAATTATTTATTTATATAAAAAAGTATTAATAGTGTCCTATTTCCTAAAATGTTACTCCGTATATTTTATTCTTCTAAACTCAATGTTGAGATCATGATTAAAATTTTAAGCTATAGATTTGAAACTGTGTTAATACTTCGTATTTTTCTACATCTTCGTATAATGCTTTCTTAATTATTAATACAATGATAAAAATTATAACCACCGAAATTTTGAAATTAAAAGCGAAATTAGTACTATTAGACATTCATATATAGAATCATATAAAGAGAATACTTCTAATCAAGTAGCTTATCTTTATTACGTAGTATTTAATAAGGTTGAAAGTTGATATCATACATGCATATGTGTGTTCACAAGTTAATACGTTTAGTCTAGCCAAAAGTCAATATGTTGGATTGTTTCATTTCTTTATTTTTACTACGGAGTACCAAATTGAGTTAAATGTAAGAACCTAACTCACTATTAAAATTTAAAAATATGTATTTCATACCAAGTTGAATGAGAAATATTAGAAAAATATTATTTTGAAATGCTCATTAAAGTAATATAGACGTTCATAACAATTAAAAATCATTTTCAATGTGACGAAATAATGAGTAAAATGTAAAAACACTCCATTTCTTACATTTTCAATGTGGTGAAATAATGAGTCAAATGTAATATCTTACTATTAAAAGTTAACAGTAAATACTCCACAGTTCATACCAAGTTCAATGAGGAATATGAAAAAAAATTGAGGTGCATAATAAAATAATTTAGAAGATGAGATTAATTAAGAAGCTTCTCTCTCAATTCTTTAAAATTGGGTTCACCACAATGGTGTTTAGTTGAGATGCTTATGTAAAAGAACATTTTGAATATTTTCCATATAATTGTCTCTTTATTTTACAAGTGAAATATTTTTTAATTTTTTTCATGATTTGAGAGATTCTGCCTATTCAGCCCATTCAAGTGATTCAACCCGAATTTAATCAATTTCAGTAAAATAAGCTGATTTTGCTAATTTTACTACGAGTATTATCAAACGAACTCTATATTTAGATTGAGTTTATTTTTCTTTTGCATCCCATTATATATGATTTCGAAAATATCAAATTTAAAATTAGCAAAATTATGTACTACCCGTGCATCGCACGGGCTTGAAACTAGTAACCTTATATTGCCATACTGAAACATCAGGGATAATAATGCTAGAATACGGTAAATGCAAAGCAAGGGGATAGAAGTTTATAATTAGAGAGATGTTTGCGTTTATACTCTATGTAATGTACGTAACTTTGTCTATAGAATTTTGTACTTCATGAGTTCATGGTGAAATTTAGTAGTGCGTTTATGTAATATAGTAATATCTTAGCCTCTTAGGGTCCTTTGTTTTATATGTCCCCAGGCTCATTAAATTTTAGGACCAGCCCTAAACAGTCTCAAAATCACTTTAAACTATTCAATTTATTCATTTGGAAATGTTTATTCAATCTCGGGTGTTTATTCAATCTAGGGTGTTAATTAAGCAAAGCCAGTTGACCGTACGTAAGTTACTCGAGACTCACTCGACGGTTATTCGAATTTTACTCAACTCGATTCAAACTTGACTCGCATTCGAACTCGGTTCGAACCAAATCAAGTCAAGCTCAAAATATATACAATCTCGACTGGAAAAGCTCACTATATTGATTTTTTAGATGCATGCATTTACATTACATCGTATATGCATAGTATTGATCCATGCATAACAACTATACTTATCTTTCACTAAAAATATACTAGAAGTGTCATACAGACTTTAGACATTGTACATCAACGTTGAATTAGGGATTATTAAACTTAGTTTATCTTAGATTCAAATAAACCGTGGACGGTACATAGAGTCTTGGGGGGGGGTAAACAATATCTTTACAACTTTACAAGGTTTACAAAATTATTGATGATTGATTGATTGTACATATGTGTTTAAACACATAATAAATCAAACTCTTTGTTTAATAATATAGAGTATCATTTTATTAGAATATAGATAAAACAATATCCTTATAAGGTTTACAAAATTATTGATGATTGATTGATGGTACATATGTGTTTAAACACATAATAAATCAAACTCTTTGTTTAATAATATACGGAGTATCATTTTTTTAGAATAGATAAAACTCGAATATCCGTTCAAAAAAAGAACTCGAATATAACTCGAACTTGAAATTTAACATGAATCAAACTATATACGGAGTATTTTTTTACTCGACCCAAACTCAATCTTTTTTATCAAATACATCTTCTTGATCTAAGCCGAACTAGAGCTGGACTCGCACAACTAATACCTCTCAATAAAAGTTAGTCAATTTTTTTGTTCTGCGTATAAAATAAACTAGTTGTATTTTGGTGATGTGGAGATAATATTGGTATCATATTTTTGAAGAGCAAAACCAAAAATTTAGTCTAAGACAAATATTTTACACCACATTTTCATCCTTTCTTCTTAGTTCTTAGGATGTTTTCTTTTGGACCGAAATTTGGTGGTCTGGTCTGGTATAATCTGGTTTGGTTTGGCAAACGTCTGGTCTCGGTGTATTTTATAACTACGCAAGTCTAATCTGGTCTGAATTGGTCTCAATCTATTTTGATCTGGTCTGATTTTGGTCAGAAAACATCCCTAATTCTTACCATACCCAAAACATGTCGCACGCCTCACGGTTCAAGTTCTTATCTCAAATCGGCTGCATCGCCCATGCTTGATACCCATTTTCTCTTGTCATCTACTTCGCAAATCTCAAGGCGAGCTCAATTACGTATACGGATAATGATACGTCCTGGCTAAGGGTCAGCCAAGAGTCATTATCCTATCATATTTATACGGAGTACTTCGTATTTCAGATAGCAACGCTTATACGGAGTAGTTTTCTGTTTGAGAGAGAAATAGCTTGTAGTTTCATAGAGAGAGAGAGATGGAGAAGGCAATTGAGAGACAAAGGGTTCTGCTTCAGCACCTTCTCCCTTCTCACTCTGCTTCTTCAACCGAAGGAGTCGATTCTTCTATTTCGGTGAGTTGGTCTCACAACAAGTCAATTGCGATCTTGATTTTCACCTTTTTTCATCTTTCTGAAACCCAGTTTTCTGTATTTGACTGGTTTGCCTCGGATCGCTTCATCATTGACCAAGCTTTTATATGTACTTCTCTGGCTTTGATGGTTGTTCATGAATTCGCTTATTATACTGCCTTTTCAGTTCTACTTTTGCTCGTTATGCATCTGATCTTACTGTTGATGGTTCTTGCTTATCTTCATGGAAATGATGATCAATACAGCCTTAAATCCTCCAATCACTCAATCTAGATGCTCACTTCTAGTTGTGATGTCGGTTAATCTGTAAATTGCCTATTTAACTCTTCTTATGCCGACTTGTCAGGTCTTTTTTTTACCAAAAAAATCTAAAATTGGGGTGACAATCATGGACCTGATTACTGTTTCTTACTAAAAATTCATGTTTAGCTGTATGCTTAATTGCCCGGTTTATACAATATATTTTAGCTCACATATCCTCCTAAGATGAAAAGACGTCACATGTATTCTGGAATAGTATTAAGGACTAAACAATAATGTTGGGATAAGTCTAGGCATGCTTATACAATGTTGTTGGTACTCCCTGTATACTGTGTGCCAATATATCAGACTTTTGAGAATGTTTTGTGTAATTATTTTGATTTTGTGAGTCAGCATAAAGTTAGTGGAACCCTTGTGAATACGAAAGTGGCAGGAAATTACATGAATTCTAAAGGAGGCATTAGTCCATTTGAGTAAAGATTTCAAAACTCGGAAACTTACTATCTGCTTTCAGATGGGGGAACATATTCCAAATGGTGCAGTTTTATTTCGGAGGTGTCATAACACATTCCACATGTTTTTTGACAATAGATGTGGATTTCATCCATTTTCCACATGACTGTTGTGTTTTCTTGTCTGCATTTGAGTATAGAGACACTGTGGGCATAGTAGCCATTTTAGGGAGAGCAAATATTAGAAACAATTATGGTGTTTTATCTACAATTATAAACCTTTTCTGTATTTAACACATCAACCAGGCATCTATTTGTGCTGCGGGGGACAGTGCTGCATATGCAAGGACTTCTGTTTACGGAGATGATATAGTCATAGTTGCGTAAGTGTTTTGTTTCTTGGATATATTCTTTGATTTAATTTCATTCAAAATTCAGAGTAATTTGTAATTGATTTATTGGTGCTTCCACCCAAAAATATTCAGTGTTGTTTGTTGTTCTTTATCATGTGATTTCCTAGCCCTAATATATTATTTATATTGTATATCTTGAATTTCTGCAGTGCATATAGGACTCCTATTTGCAAATCTAAGAAGGGTGGTTTCAAAGATACTTACCCTGATGATTTACTTGCCACTGTCTTAAAGGTTTGTTCCCGTTGATGTGTACTACTGAACCTTGTTATCATAACAGGTGACCTGGTCTCTTTAATTGTAAGTAATTTATTGCAGGCGCTGATTGAAAAGACTAATTTGAACCCAAGTGAAGTTGGGGATATAGTTGTGGGTACTGTCTTGGCACCAGGATCCATAAGAGCAAGTGAATGTAGGATGGCTGCATTCTATGCAGGATTTCCTGGTATGTGTGTACACTGTTGATCTCTGCAGAACTTTGTTGTTGGTGGAAATAAATAAATGTTCATATGCTATCGGATCTGCACAGAAACTGTTCCAATTAGAACTGTGAACAGACAATGTTCGTCTGGTCTCCAAGCAGTTGCAGATGTTGCTGCAGCCATTAAATCAGGATTTTATGACATTGGTAGGTCCTCTTTTATATTTCTAATCTCAGCTAAGCTCACAAAATGATGGTCAATATCCAATATGTAAATTTCATTTTCTGATTAGGTATTGGGGCTGGCTTGGAGTCGATGACTGTAAACTCCATGTCATGGGACGCCTCGGTCAATCCTCGAGTATGTTTCCTTTTTCATGCATATTCTCTGACTGGTTCTTTTTGAAAAGTATACATTGTGGTGCAATGCTTCTCGTCTTCATACACTTCCAAACAGGTTAGGACATTACAACAAGCACAAAACTGTCTTCTTCCCATGGGTGTTACTTCTGAAAATGTAGCACATCGCTTTGGTGTGACAAGGCAGGAACAAGATCAGGCAGCTGTAAGTATCCATTTACGTTTTCATTAATTGACATGATCAATTATCAATTAAAATGATATTTTTGTTTTCCGTTTCTTTGTGTAGGTTGAGTCACATAAGAAGGCTGCCGCAGCGACTGCCTCTGGGAGGTTTAAAGATGAAATTATTCCTGTGTCTACAAAGGTAAATAGTCTCTGTTTGGTTGCTTAGTGCAATTTGCAGTTATTTTAACAACCAAGTTAGAAAACATTTGGTTTCTGAATTATTTCGTCACATGTTGTGTGTTGTGGTTGCCTCTTTCAATATATTTCTGTTCAATTTCTTTTTTACATTTTTTCAATATTAATTAGGAAATTTCACTTTTGGCATTTCAATTGTTTCCCATTTGTGACTCTTTAGTTTGTTTGCAAAGTATAAAACTCCACAATTGTCTTAGCACTTTAAGTTGGGAAAAGGTTAAAATTCACACTTATCTTGTACTTCACCAAACATGAGTGACCTGAGGAACCAGATTCTCAAATTTTGAAAGCAGGATCATATCAAGTTATACGCGAAACAAATGAGGGGCCAAAAGGGTGGCATTCGCTATGAAGAAATATTCTTTGCCTCTGTTTCTTGCTTTTGAACAAATTGTGTTTTTCTTATATAGATTGTTGACCCAAAAACTGGAGATGAGACTGTTGTTACAATCTCTGCTGATGATGGGTTTCGGCCAAATGCCAGTATCAGCGACTTGGCAAAGTTGAAACCAGTGTTCAAGAAAGATGGGTCTACCACTGCTGGTAATAAGATGGCAATTTTCTGTAATACATCATGTTGGAAAATGTCATATTGATTCTTTTCTTCTGTCAAATTATAGGAAACTCTAGCCAAGTTAGTGATGGGGCTGGCGCTGTACTACTCATGAAAAGAAGTCTTGCAATGAAGAAAGGATTTCCAGTACTTGGTGTATTCAGGTCTATTTCATTCAAATGCTTCCTGGAATGTATATGCAATGATGTCTAACATATGGCACCAAATGTTTTCCAGTTTTTGGCCATTTAAACCTATATTTTTATAATTCTGTGTTTCCTATGTTTGAGCTTTCAATTAAATTTTCATCGTCAAATAATAGATGTGTGTCCTTTCCTATTGCAGGACTTTTGCTGCTGTTGGTGTAGATCCTGCTATAATGGGAATTGGTCCAGCTGTTGCAATTCCCGCTGCGGTCAAATCTGCTGGACTTCAACTTGATGATATCGATCTCTTTGAGATCAATGAAGTGAGTTAAATATATGTTATCTTGTCTTCCCATTTCATTCATAGTGCTTGTTACTTTCTGGTTTAAAGTGATTGTTATGTTTCTCTTGTGCAGGCATTTGCATCACAGTATGTGTACTGCCAAAGGAAGCTGGGGCTTGATCCAGAAAAGATCAATGTAAACGGTGGTGCCTTGGCTATTGGCCATCCTTTGGGTGCAACAGGTATATAAAGTTATGACTTAAACTAAAAGAGTTGATCTTGTTATTGTGGTGTATAACTGCCCTATTTGGTGCATCATTTTTTTTGTATTTAGGATATCGTAATATGTGAACTGTTGTCATTTTAACTTGTAAATGTGATAAGTATGTTTGTTCCTAAGTATGCTCCATTTCTGGTATTAGTTGTGCAGGCTCATTAAAAATGATGACCATTGATTTATCTTTCAATAACATTGTTTGACTTTGGTTTGTGGGGTTTATTTCGTATTCGCATTGTATAGGAGCTCGTTGTGTTGCAACTTTGCTGCATGAGATGAAGCGCCGTGGCAAAGACTGCCGCTATGGTGTAGTTTCCATGTGCATAGGTACGTTCTGTTCCTCCATAACTCAATGACTTTTTTCAAAGAAAAAAGTTCTTTTAACGTCTATGAGGGAGACAAAAATGAGGAAATAACTTGGAGCAGTAACATTAATTAAGTTTATTTTTGGTGACAAGATCTTGTTTCAGATTGTTGTGTGTTAAGTAAATGCGTGTTAATGTTGTTGAACAGGCACCGGAATGGGTGCAGCTGCTGTGTTTGAGAGAGGTGATGCTTGTGATGAGCTCACAAACGCCCGAAAAGTTGAAAACAACGGTCTGTTGTCTAAGGATGCGCGGTAGAACTCCCCTGGTTGTTTAGCTTGGGTTGCTTGGTGTTTTGTGAAAGAGGAAGGCACAACATCAATAAGTGTCGGGAGAAAGAGAAGTTATACTTTGGCCATTTTCAATTATATGATTGTATTCAAACTTTCCAACTTTTTGTACCAATAATATATCTCTCTTCGGATCTGTGCTAAATTGCATCCTGGGGAGGGGAATATCTATGTCCAAGGCACACTCAATAGGAATGTGAAATAATAATGATCAACTTTTAATTGTAATAAATCACTAGTTGCATACTAACCGGGTTGCCCCTATTATCACTACTTCCATTTGCCCAGATTTTTGCAGTAACTCGGTCCCCATGAAAGAAATTCCATTGTATATATATGGATAACTATTTCCAATCTGTAGAAAATATGTTTATGTATTTAATTTTGGCCCTGCAATAAAAATTCTCAATCCCAGCCCAGCAGCCCTACTAAAGATCCATTTCTGGCTTTGAAGTCTGAACTCTGAACTAGGGGTGGACTCGGTTTGGGCCGGGCCCGGTTCGGGCCTTGAACCGGCCGGGCCTCGGTTCAAGGTAGGGGAGGCCCGGAACCGGCCCGGGTAACCCCCGGGTCCGGTTCGGGCCGGGCCCGGTTCGGTTCTATATAATTTTTTTTTTGGGTTTTCCTAATCAACCCCCTACCCTCCCCCTCAACCCCAAACCACCTCAAATGGCCCAAAATATCCAATCCAACCCAAAAACTTAAAAAAAAATTCAAAAAAATAAATAAATTAAATCTGGCCCGGACCGGTTCACCAAAATGAAGGCCCGAGCCCGGAATCGGTAGCCACCGGGCCGGGTCGAACCGAACCGCCCATGGGCTGGGCCGCCGGGCCGGGCCGGTTCAAACAGTGACCGGGTCAGGCCACCCGGCCCAAGTCCACCCCTAGTCTGAACCTCTAGCAAAGGCTGAAATCTGTTGAGTAATAGAAGAGTGAAATGATGTTTAGGGGTAACTGTATAAGTAGTTACCTTGTTTGGAGCGGGAGAGATTAGGGAAGGAAAGTCAAGCGTGAAGGACTGTAGGGTGTGATAAAAATGAAGAGCGCAATGAAGAACAACAAAAATGCGAATACTTTGTTTGTCTTGTTTTGTGCCTTTGTGGGTAGGGGTGGACTCGGGCCGGGTGGCCCGACCCGGAACCGGCCCGAACTGGCACTGTTCCGGCCCGGCCCGGCCCTCTAGGGTTCCGGTCCGGGTAGGCCCGACCCTCTGGGGTTCCGGTCCGGGATCGGGCCTCTCAAAACGTGAACCGGCCCGGCTAGTTCGGGCCCAGTCCGGGCCATTTTATTTCTTTTTTCTTTTTTTTTTTTGATTTTTTTTTTTAAGTTTTTGGGTTGGGCTGGGTATTTTGGGTCATTTGAGATGGTTTGGGGGTGGGGGGGGGGGGTTAGGGGTTAATTAGGAAAAGGCAAAAAAAAATTGAACCGAGGCCTGACCCGGACCCGGGGGTTAATCGGGCCGGTTCCGGGCCTCCCCTTTCCTGAACCGAGGCCCGACCGGGCCTAGGCCCGAACCGGCCCGAGTCCAGTCCCCTATTTGTGGGGGGGGGGGGGGGGGGGGGGGGGTCATTTGTTATCTCCGCTGCAGCCAAAAACCAGAATTTCGCAGCCTGTATGTGAGTATCAGACTGCGGACTTCCAACATTAACGGACTACTCCTGGTTATGCAAAAGAACTACTCCCTATGAGGTAATCAAGGAAAAAGGGTCAAATAAGCTTTTTTACTACCTTCAATCCGTCGCATAAGCCTTTGTATTTAAAAAAGTATCATATAAGTTTACACAATTGATCAATTGACCATTTAATTAGTTTTTGACCTGTCATAGCAGGTTTTTAATATTTAAAAGCTCTACAAAATTGTTAAAATTTGAAGAAATATATACAAAAAGTGTAAATATTTTCAGAATATCAAAGTTAATATTTTCAAATTTTTAAAATTATTTTTATATTCTACATCTATTGAAAAGGTTTTTAAGTTTTTATTTTCTTTTTTTTAGTTTCACTTTATTTTTTTAGTTTTATGAATTTTTTATTTTTTATTTTAATGTTATTAAAATTTAAAAATCTATTTTTTACATTTATATTATTTTTATGCTATCATTAGATTATTTATTAAAATTTATATGAATTTTTGTAAAATTTATCAATATTCCTAATTTATTTTTTAAAAAAAATAACCTGCTATAGTAGGTCGAATGGTTTGATTGATTATATTTTAAAAGTATGCGTACTTCAATGATACTTTTTTACTACAGGGCTTAAGTGACAGATTTGATATAGTAGAAGAACTTATTTGACTCTTTTTCTGATAATCAATTATATTTATTAATTGTAGTATGGAATAAAAGGGTAATGTGTAGTAGGAATAAAAAATCATTATTTAGCCTTAGGATTAGTTACTCTTTTTTTATTAATGAAAGGGCAAGTGTATTTCGGCTTTGATCTAAATAGAGAGGCCCTGCCATTCTGTCAAGTGCCAAACTGTGAGTGAGGGTCACACACCTGGGGAACAGGGATGGATTTAAGGGGGCGCGGGGGCGACCCCTCTGGACTTTCAAAATTTTCTACTATATATGTAATATTTTTATAAGATTTTCATACTTTAATTAGATACATATTTTTCGCCCCACTTATCTTTTAGTTTTCAAAATTAATAGTTAAGCTTACATAATGTAATACTTAATTGGAGATTAGAATTGAAGTAAAATCTAAAATAATTTACATAATTTAAACAAATAAACAATAGAAAAACTCATTGTTTAAGAGTTAAGACTCAATATACCTATTATATACAAACTCTTAGTTTTGTAATGTTTTATTATCTTCGTAGACAAAAATTGCAATTCAAAAACCAATTTTTTATCCTGATAAGATTCTTGTGGTTGAACAAAACAAAAGTTATTCAAAAAACATCAATTTATGTGGACCTTTTAAACTCTTTACATTCAAATATTTTGATAAAATGTTATATCCTTACTTATTTTCAAATAATTTTCTAGAGCAATTAGAATTATTAAATCAAATTTTTTTTTCATTGTCTAAAATTTGAATGTAATAGATTTAAATATCATCGTGTATTTACTCATGGAATTTTTGAACAAAAATTAGCAGCAGAGTCCTACACTAGTGAAAAAATTTCGCCCCGCTGTACCAGCGAAAAAAACTTCGTCCTGCTACATAGCGGAAAAAATTTCACCCCTACTATAATGAAAAAAAAAAAATCGCCCCCCTTGACTTGAAATCCTGGATCCGTCCCTGCTGGGGAAGGCTCCGATCAAGTTGGCCTGCAGACCTGTCCGGGTAGCGTCGCAGGCTTGCACTGTGGGCCAAGAGCTTCATCGCCGACCCACGACTACTGTAAACGTAGAGCTTGAGTGCTTTGAATGATGACCTGCTCATTCCCCCTTTATAACGAATAGAACTAGAGTTTTAAGGGAAAAAAAGTTTAATAGAGAAGTGATCCAGCTCAACTGTTCATCAACCCACTCTTTTACTCGGACGGTCTTGAAAATTGATAGAAAGAGTTTCAACTCTGCTTATTCCAACCCTCTCCCCCTGACCCCAAGGGTAAAAATGAGAGTAGAATGGCATTTCTAGGTGTACTATACTTAGGTCTGTCAATGGGTCGAATCTAGACCCGAACCCGATCATAATCCGGCACTTTATTTGAGGGTATGGGTCTAAATTTAGAATCGTTTCTCGGGTCCGGATCCGAACCCGTTACATGATAGATAAAATGGGTCGGATATGGATTTTAAAGTTGCGGTCCGTTTTGGACCTGACCCATGATGATATAATTATAGTTATATTTTTTTTTACATATACACACACAATATACATAGAAATATATAAACATAAAATAAGAAAAATAATCAAATATAAAAAATGTTTTTAATATTTGTAGGCTTAGTTAGTGGTAGGGCTGGGATCGGTTCAGTTCTTACTCAAAATGCGTGGAACCGTTAAAAAAATTTTAACTAATGAAATCGGTTCGGTTCCTATTTAAAAAATCAAGAACCGTTATGAACACATAGTTTCGGTTCCTAATACTAAACGGTTCGGTTCCTTCTTTTTACCGGTTCCTAATACTAAACGGTTCGGTTCCTTCTTTTTACCGGTTCCTAGAATAATTTTTTATCATCCAAGAATTAAGTCAATTAACACATAATTTACTTTCTGCAACATGAACATGTCGAAAATTTTGATTTCAACTCAAACATCAAAACTCAAACTTAACTAGTGAACTGTGAACAATTAATAGAACAAACGATGATTTAAATTAAGAACGTCTACTTTTAGTCTTTCAAAACATAAAAGAATACATCGAGTTCACATGTATAGATATAAAAACACTATTACATTCTACCTGCTCGTACCTTGATTTTTAATAAATCTAATAATTAGAAATATTATGAAAATAGTAAAGTAAAATATGTGCAATCAACTACAACTTATTAGGCTTATTTTATATTTATAAAATTTATGTGATGGAACAAAACTTGATTTGTATAAATGAGTTTAATGTATTACTATCAACTCATTTGCAATATTATTACTTATGTTTTCGTTGATTAAATTAGAATTGTTAGTTTTTGTGAAGGAAAATTAGAATTGCTAGTTAAATATGTATTGTTTTATTATTGTTGTGGTGTATATGATTGTTATTATATTATTATTACTACTACTAATACTATTTTTTTTTAATAACGTTTCCTTAACGGTTCCATGCACATATTCTTTTTATAGGAACCAGGAATCGAACCGTAAACAACATCTAGGAACCGAACCGTTAACAACTAATACCTCATTTGTAGGAACCGAACCGGGTTATAACGATTCGGTTCCAATCGGTTCTACGGTTCCCGGTTCCAAAATCCCACCCCTAGTTAGTGGTTGGCCCACTATAATGCAATGAGATTTTCGCTAATGAGTTACTGCTCTAGAAACTTTATGATTTCACTAATATACATATAACATACTCCGTGTATTATTGTATAGTTCATACGGAGTAATGGATATAGAATAACATTTTGCTTATTTATATATGATCTCTTCCAACATGAACATTTTTTTTGTTATATATTACGTAGTATATGTTTTTTGCATATGTAATGTAGTTTTTTTTTGCTGGTATACCCGGCCCGGATCCGAGACCTGTCGGATCCAAATCTGGAACATATGTTTAGGACCCGAAGGGTAAATGGGTCCTGATCTGGACCAAAAAAATTCAACAGATACAGATATGAAATTTATAGTTCCGGCCCATATCCGATCCGTTGACAGGCCTAATGGTATGTACAATGCACATCTACACTGTTGTTGTATAGAATGAAAAATGAGCTAACATTGTAATATTGAGGATGTTTTCTTTTGGACTGTTGTCAGTCTTTGATCAGACCAGACCAGAATTAAATAGATCAAACCAGACTTTTAAAATTATAAAAATACACATAGACCAGACATTTATTAGATCAGATCGGACAAAACTCCAACATATATCAAACTAGATGAGACCAGCGAATTTCGGTCCAAAAGAAACCTGAATTTTTAGATCATCTGAAATTCTGAACCGAATAAACAATTAAGACGTTTTTTTTTTTGAAATTTCCCCTTGTCTTTTTAAATTAGTATGGTACTATGGTGTATTGTGAAATCTTTCCGGTCAAGAACATCCTTAGGTAGAGTCCCTATATAGTACACCCGGGTGTACGTACATCCGGCCCACTTATTAAATTTGACTGGTGGGCTTACATCTTGTTCCAGCGAAAAAAATTAAAATCCCCAGCGGGATTCGATCCCCAAACCCGCAGTAGGATATGCGGCCTTCCAACCATCTCACTAACTTGTCATGTTGAGATAATCTGTTCTTTTATCTTACTTATCCTATATAGTTTCATACTGCCTATTATTAATAGTAACTATAATATTAACTATTCTTTTGTTTTTGCTCATTATTACTACGGAGTATATTAAAAGACTAATTCATATTTTTGAAGTATTTATTTGATCTATGAATCATACTATTACTTTATATAAATATATTTATACTTTTTTTATATAGTGTTAGGTTCCTAATAAGCCTGATGCTCATCAAAAGTGTTTTAATGCTCATAATAGGTCTGATGAACATTAAAAGTTCATTATGCTCATTTAACAGAAACTGTGATTTTCATCTCAATAGAAACTGTGATTTTTTCATCTCATTGATATGAAATTGTAAAAATGAGCATAACATGAGTACCAAATGAACATACATAACTTACAAAGTGCACATTGATATGAAAATCGTAATGTTTGTTAGTTGAACATCATGACATTTTAATTGAGCATCCAACCTCCACTATTGAGATGAAAATCACGACTTCTAGAGAATGAGTAATAATGAACTTTTAATGAGCACCAGACATATTCTGTTGAGCATACTGAATACACAAATTGATATTTAAGCATACTCGAGATTTTAAATGAGCTTTTAAAATTTTTCTATGCTCATTTCGTAAATTAGCTATGCTCATTTGATATTGGTGTAATGTTCATTTTAAAATGAGCACTACACGAGACAACTAAAATGTCATATCCATGCATATTGGCGCAATGCTCATTTTGAACTTTTTGATACTCATTTCACGCGTCATGTATTCACATTTAATATTTGAGCATCAAACATCCGCTATTGAGATGAAATTCACGATTTCTAGTGAATAAGCAATAATAAACGTTTAATGAGCATCGTACCCATTCTATTGAGTATTAGGAGTCTAATATTGAGAATCGTGATCTCCGCTTCATAACTTCTAATTCACTTTCTTTTTGTTATTTTTTATTTTATAAAATCTTATTAAACTATATTTATAATCAACTCCTGTGAATTTCAATATGTGAATTAATGTAAAATAGTACTTTAAAAAATGCATCGATATGACATTTAGAAAATGAGCATAAGATCTCTACCAGATGAGCATACGTTACTTACAAAATGAGTATTAATGAATTTGTTAGCTGCTTTGTTATTTGAACATCACGACATTTTCATTGAGCATCAAACATCCTCTATTGAGATTGATGAAAATCACGATTTCTGTAAAATGAGCATTAATGAGGATTCGACCTATACAAATGAGCATATGTAACTTACAAGATGAGCATCGATATGAAAATTGTAAGTTTTGTTCGTTGAACATTTTACACACGCATTGATATGCCATTTTACATATGAGCATAAAATTAGTACCAAATGAATATGTGTAGCTACACAATGCGCATTGATAAAAAATCGTGTTAATTGGACATCACTATATGTTCATTGAGCATCAAACCTCCTATATTGAGATGAAAATAATGATTTGTATTAAATGAGCATTAATGACTTTTTAATGAGCATCAGACCTATACAAATGAGCATATGTAACTTACAAGATGAGCATTGATATAGAAAATATAAGTTTTATTCGTTGAGCATCAAAACATTTTCAATGAGCATCAAACCTCCGTTATTGAGTATTAGAATCTGCGATTGAGTATCATGATTTGTGGTCTTGTGTCTATAATCAACTCTTATATAAATCTAATAATGTAATATGAGACTTTTGAAATGAGCATTGCTAAAACATTTTAAAAATGAGCACAACAGATATACTAAATGAGTATACATAATTTACTAAATGAGCATCGATATGAACATTTTACATATGAGCATAAAATTAGTACCAAATGAATATGTGTAGCTACACAATGCGCATCGATAAAAAATCGTGTTAATTGGACATCACTATATTTTCATTGAGCATCAAACCTCCTATATTGAGATGAAAATAATGATTTGTATTAAATGAGCATTAATGAATTTTTAATGAGCATCAGACCTATACAAATGAGCATATGTAACTTACAAGATGAGCATTGATATAGAAAATATAAGTTTTATTCGTTGAGCATCAAAACATTTTCAATGAGCATCAAACCTCCGTTATTGAGTATTAGAATCTGCGATTGAGTATCATGATCTGTGGTCTCGTGTCTATAATCAACTCTTATATAAATCTAATAATGTAATATGAGACTTTTGAAATGAGCATTGCTAAAACATTTTAAAAATGAGCACAACAGATATACTAAATGAGTATACATAATTTACAAAATGAGTATTTAAAAATGAGCACAACAGATATATCTAATTGATATTCACGACCACTTAATTAAAGGAAAAATTCACGGGATATGACTAAAACAAAGTGAGTTTCTCGAAATGTGAGTAGTAATGTTTTCTTCCCGAAATATGACCAAAAAATGAAAAGAAAAATAAATATGCTCCTTATTTTTGTTATATTAAATTGTGGAAGGACAAAAATACTCTTTTTTAAAAAAATATGCATTTTACAGTAATTTTGCCTGGGTAAAAGTAATGCACTTTATGAAGGTGTCATTTGCACTACATTTATTGCACTTTATGACGATATTCACTGCACTACATAAAAAAAATGTTATGAATTTAGCGTTTTTTATATTTCATAACTTTAGTTTTTAGATCTAGTTAAATATCGTTGGTAGAATCGTTGGATGAATTCCGATCCCGACGAGGTGTTCAACGATTTTTAAAATGTGAATACTTAATTTTACATTATTTTAACTCTCATATTAACATCAAAAAAATTATAAAAGGCCAAATTTAAATGTTTCTGGTAAATCTGTGCAACTGGCAATAATTTTTTTCCTAAGTACAGTGATTTTGGAATTTGACAAGGACTAAAACCAAAATGGTGCAAATTACAGGGATGAAAAACAAAAAGTTTATTTTGCAGGGACCTAAAACAAAATGTGTCATATTTGCAGGGACTAAAAACATATTTAAGCCTTTGAAATATGCATTGATAAACATTTTAAAATGAGCATAACAAAGGTAATAAATGGACATACTTCGTACATAATTTACAAAATGAGTTTTCAAAAATTCAAATAAAACTCATTTTTAATATCGGTATTAATATATAAAGAACAAAAAGAAGGAAACAAGAAATAAAAGAAACGAAAAGAAAAAAGGAAAAAGAAAGACAAAAAAAGTAAAGTAACTAAAGAAAAAGTAACGTAAAAGTAAAGTAAAAAAGACAACAAATGTAAAACGAAAGTAAAGCAGGGACGGCGGCTAAAAAAATGAAAGACAATGACGGTTGAAAACTTGAAATTAATAAAAGCAACTGGGAGTGATCGGATGAGAGTGACGGCAGAATTGAAGAAGAATCACGCACAGAAATGGATGAGAGAATCTACTGCCACGTCATTTAAAAACCGGGTGTACATGTACACCCGGGTGTATAATATAGTTTACGCCTTAGGTACACATACGGCTTTTGATTTTGGCGCGCCAGTCAGCATGCATGGCCAAGGAAACATTTTTACGCACAAACTCTCCTCTTTTCTCTCCGTTTCGCTCTCCCCTTCTCTCCATTTTCATCACTTTCTTCTCTTTGTTTTTGTTTTTTTATTCTTTTGGGTCAAAAGTCTAGGGTTTTCAGTTTCGTTCGATAAAAAAGTAGGAAATTATGGGGCAGCAGACGCTGATCTACAGCTTCGTGGCTCGCGGGACGGTAATTCTGGCGGACTACACAGAGTTCACCGGAAATTTCACCGGCGTCGCCGCCCAATGCCTCCAGAAACTCCCCGCTTCCAGCAACCGGTTTACCTACAATTGCGACGGACACACCTTCAACTACCAGGTGGAGAACGGGTTCAGTGAGTCTTCATCAATCCTCATCTGATCTTCCTCTGTTTTATGTTATAATTAAGCATTGAAGCTTATTCGGCCTGAATTGATTGGATGATACATGCTTAATAATAATGCTTATGGAATTACGTATATATCGTAATCATGTTTTGCATTGCCCTCAGATGTATACCTATGTGAATTCCAAATTTATGTATTGTAATGCTGATGATGAATTGATGATAATATGGAGCCGAAAGGGGACTGGTGTTTATTCCACTATATAATCCATTGTGATCAGAGGCATAGCCCAGGCACCGGGGGATACAATTTTTTACACGAAATTTTTACATAAGTAAAAGAAAATTTTAATTTGGGATGGGCCGGGGCCTATAAAATGTCGAATTACTTTGCTTTGAATTAAAATATCAACAATAAGACAGTTAAAGTACATTCATTGTCCAAAGTTCTTAATATAAATTCTTTGCAAACACTACTATTAAACTATTATGCTAAAATTCATTGTCCAAAGTTCTTAATATAAATTCTTTACTAATTTTGGACTGATTAGATACATATTAGTGTATACGTGTGTGATCCATAATTGTTTTGTTCTGAGATTTCAATTTAGAAATGGTCAAGAATATTCAACATGTTCTCCAATATTTACAATGTGAATTTTCTTTGACTAATTGACTCCATTTTCTTTGCTCAATGTTAATAACTCAGGATTTCTGAGTTTCTTCCCTTTTTCTGTTTTGTTTCCAATGTTGTGATGCAGCCTACTGTGTTGTTGCTGTTGAATCTGCTGGAAGGCAAATTCCTATTGCCTTCTTGGAGCGGGTAAAGGATGAATTTTACAAGAAATATGGTAAAGGGAAAGGTGTTAGTGCAGGTGCCAATGGCCTGAAAAGAGAATTTGGGTAGTTTCTGTTTATTTCACCTCCTCAAAAAATGACATGTCTTTCTTTCTCTCTACTCCCTTTTGAATCTCACTTATCTACTTTCTACTGCAGTCCAAAACTGAAAGAACACATGAGGTACTGTGCTGAACATCCAGAAGAAATGGACAAGATTGCCAAGGTTAAGGCTCAGGTCAATGAAGTAAAAGGAGTGATGATGGGGAACATTGAAAAGGTAATTAAACTTTCTTGTGACTTGACAAGAAAATACTTGTACTTGTTTAAGAGTAAAACATAGACAAAATATATCAATAGGACATGCAACAGTTTTTTTTAATTCCCAAAATATATGCATGTTCTCCTCATCTTATTACCTCTAGTACTCCGTATAAAAAGTAGTGGAGGTCCCATTCATGGGGTGTAAAGAGACTAATGATGCCATCACTTCAGCATCCAATGCATTTGGTTCGTGGAGACAATTCACTGCTGCTGAAAGGAGTAAATGCTTACGGAAATGGTTTGATTTGTTAATGATTCACAAGGAAGAGCTTGGGCAACTTATGACCCTAGAGCAAGGAAAACCTTTAAAAGAGGCCATCGGGGAGGTCACTTATGGAGCCAGTTTCATTGAGTTCTTCGCAGAAGAAGCTAAACGTGTATATGGTGATATTATTCCAGCCACATTACCAGATCGTAGCTTGTTTGTTTTGAAGCAGCCGGTAGGTGTTGTTGGTGCAGTGACACCCTGGAATTTCCCGTTGGCTATGATCACTCGAAAGGTTGGTCCGGCTATTGCCTGTGGTTGTACAGTGGTCATAAAGCCATCTGAGCTTACACCCTTGACTGCCTTAGCAGCAGCTGAACTGTCTTTTCAAGCTGGAATACCACCGGGTGTGGTAAATGTTGTAATGGGAAATGCTGCGGATATTGGGGATGCTTTGCTTGCAAGCCCACAGGTAAGGAAGATTACATTTACAGGCTCAACAGCTGTTGGAAAGAAATTGATGGCTGGTTCTGCTGCCACAGTTAAAAAGGTGTCACTTGAGCTCGGTGGTAATGCACCATGCATAATCTTTGATGATGCTGACCTTGATGTAGCCTTCAGAGGAACTCTGGCAACAAAATTCCGCAATAGTGGACAAACGTGTGTCTGTGCAAACCGAGTGCTTGTTCAGGAAGGGATTTATGACAAATTCGTGGAAGCGTTTTCAAATGCTGTACAAGATTTGAAAGTTGGTGATGGATTTGGTGAAGGCGTTATGCAGGGCCCTCTAATTAATGAAGCAGCAGTACAAAAGGTCGAAAAGTTTGTGCAGGAAGCCATTTCTAAGGGGGCTAAAATCATAGTTGGGGGCAAGAGACATAGTCTTGGCATGACATTCTATCAGCCTACCGTGATTACTGATGTCAAGAGTGAGATGCTTCTCTCAAGGGATGAGATATTTGGGCCAGTTGCACCTCTTTTGAAATTCAAAACTGAGGACGAGGCTATCCAAATGGCAAATGACACCAATGCAGGCCTAGCTGCATATATATTTACGACAAACATTAGGCGATCTTGGCAAGTCACAGAAGCTCTTGAATATGGAATTGTTGGAGTGAATGAAGGACTAGTTTCAACTGAGGTGGCTCCATTTGGTGGCATGAAACAGTCAGGTCTGGGCCGAGAAGGTTCGAAGTATGGGATGGATGAATACCTTGAAATGAAATATGTATGCCTGGGAAGTATATGAACATGGCGATTTAGCGTAAATGGTGATAAGTTCTCACTTCAGTGAAAACTTAAGGCTGTTCATATTGAATAAATATTCCGACAGTTTGGTTTCTGAAATCATTTGTTATAAAGATTTTTTGCTTTGCGTTCGGAAACTATGCCGTTGCCAAATTTTGGAAAGATTTTTTGGTGTTTTGTTTTTACGGTTTTGATGTTTATCTATTTACTGATGTGAATACCATTTTTTAATTTTAGTGTAGTAATGTGAAATTGTGAATGTTAAAAAAAAAAAAAGTAGTGGAGGTAAAATAACCATTAAAGTAGTAGTATTATAACAATAAATGTTGTAAGGAAGAGTTAAATTATCAGTGCAATGCTTATTTACTCCTATAAAACATGCTGCTCCTATTTAGGAAATGTTAGATCATTTTACTTCTATTTAGGGAATTAACCCTCACTCGGATTTCTCTCTCAGGTTTTTACGGAACATGATATATATCCATAGGTACTTTTATACATCCTTGTGTCTAACATATTTTATATGGTACTCAGGTTCTGGACCGTGGTGAGAAGATTGAGCTTTTGGTAGATAAAACTGACAACCTACGGTCACAGGTTAGTTTTGGTGCAGGATCAACATGAATTGATCCCAAAATGCATATTAAAGGACACAGAATGTTGAAACTATACCTTATTAATTCTTGGGAGGCTTGTTGATGTAGTAAATTAAATTTTGTTTGTGTATGTTATTAGTCTCGCAATTTTACTTATGGGGAGATGATGTTCTGTAAATAATAAGTTTGTCCATGTTAAGAGTTTTTCACCGGCATGTACAATTTCCTGTAAAAAACTGAATGGATAACTCATCGTTAGCGTGAAATTTTCCACTGGAAATAGTATACTTAAGTGGAAAAGTTGTTATAGACAAATTTATTCATCATTACAGTACATCATTACCAAGCGACTAAAGTTAGGAGACTAATCACGAGCTAACAAAAGTTAGGGATTAGGTCTACAATTGTCTATTTTTTATGAGGATAATAAATCATTGAGAGTGATACTGTGTACCTATTTTGTTTCCAGGCGCAGGATTTCCGAAAGCAAGGAACGAAGATGAAGAGGAAAATGTGGTTTGAGAATATGAAGATAAAATTGGTTGTGGCGGGTATTCTTGCCCTCTTAATTCTTATGATTGTCCTGTCTGTCTGCCCTCATTTCAATTGTTAATGATTGCACTGGGGCGGCGGGCATCACCCCGTTCCTGCAGAGTTACCATATGGGTTGACTGATACAGGGCAACATTGGTAGTTCATTGCCAAATATCAGCACATCACTTCACTGCTAATCTGTAGAGCCTGGCCTGAAATTTTTATTAGGAGTTGGTGTATAGGTATTTTGGATGGTAGATATGTGTCTTTGTTAAAGTGTATTTGAGTTGATAGATAGAACTGACAGAACCCACAATGGGTTGTATATTGGCTATTGATGTACATAGTGATCCACTGATCCAGCTCCCATTACTTGATAACAATCAATAAATTTAAATTTCATTGCTCAATGCTATCTATATAGCAAACTTAAATGTCTTACAATAGAACTTGCTCATTTGTATTGAAATTCTGGTCTTGCCTGATCTTTGTTTGAATCAAAATTCGTTTAATTTGTGACGAGTGAGGGAGGGTACACGAAAGTAATGAGTGTCAAATTTGCTTTACATGTATCTCAATCATAAAATGAAAGTTATTAAATGTCTTCTAGCTCAGTGATACTCAGTCAAATCATCCTCTCTACTCTTAGTTTAATGTCTTCCATATTTTCACTTCTCATGGAATTTACTCAATATTCTGAAAAAAGGTCTATGATAGCTTCCAAACTTTACCCCATGTCACAATGAACGAAATTAACAATGACCTGGTGCTCCTTAGCCACAAGGATGAGGACTTTCTACAATTTGTGATGACTACCTTCATGATGCTATGAACTTCACCTATTGCAAATACAAACTCGATCAAATAAGTTTGAATTCGTAAAAAAAATTAATCACATTATTTAAGGGGTCAATTTGGTCCCGGTTCCGAACTGCACCACAACGTGATTTGATTTTTTAGCCTTGGTTTGAACTGTTTTTATGAGTCCAAACCGGAGTCGATGCGTACACTGAGTTCGAATCCGATCTGGTTTTTTGAAATGTCTGGTTTAGATTTACGTTATTAGACCGGTCATGTTACGCACTTACACCTAGTTCTTTTCATGTTAATGTCTATTAAACTTTCTTGATAATGCGATTTGAAAATCACTTTAAATATATCAATTTATCCATTTCGAAGTGTTTATTCATCCTACAAAAGAAACTGTGAGTTACAAAAACACATTACTTCATAAGGACAGATTGATATCTTCCTATAGACATAAATTTTAATTGAGCCATTCAACAACATCCAAGCCTTAGTCCCAAACGATATTGGGGTCGGCTAACATGAATCGATACATGATATCACCAAAGGGAAAAGAAAGAAAAAAAAGATAAAAAAGATAAACTATTATAAAAAAAAGATGATATAAAAAAGATGAATATACATATAAAAGATAAAATACAAAGAATAAAGTAATATTTATATATAAGGATAAAAATATATAAAAAAAAGAGGGAAAAAGATGATACAAGATCACTCCTCCACACGAATACCCACCCTCCACTTTGCTCTCTCCAAATCCATACCCCCATCCAACCCAAGAAGAAGCATATCACTCCGAACTCCCCTAACCCACGTCTGTTTGGGTCTTCCTCTCCCTCTCTTCCCTGTTTCTTCTCCACACATCTGAACACGTCTGACAGGTGCATTACTAGATCTTCTTCGCACATGACCAAACCACCGTAGGCGAGACTCCCACATCTTGTCTTCAATAGGTGCTACTCCCACCCTTTGTCTGATTGTCTCATTTCTCACGTGGTCCTTCCTAGTATGCCCACACATCCAACGCGGCATGCGTATCTCTGCCACACTCATCTTTTGAATGTGACATTGTTTCACCACCCAACACTCTACGCCATACAACAATGCATGCCTAATTGCTGTCTTATAAAATTTACCCTTCAGTCTAGTCGGCATACCTCGATCGCATAGAAATCCTGACGCACTCTTCCACTTCATCCACCCTGTTCTGATTCTATGGGATACATCTTCATCTAGCTCAACGTCCTTCTGAATTATGGAGCCCAAGTAACGGAACATATCGCTGACCGGTATCTCCTTACCATCTAAAGTAACTCCGCTATTACCAGTGCTTCTACCTCCACCAAACTTGCACTCCATGTACTCTGTCTTGCTTCTACTTAGTCTGAAACTCTTGTTCTCCAATGTTTGTTGTCATACTTCCAACTTTGTTTTAACCACTGATTGCGTCTCATCAATCAATACAATATCGTCGACAAACATCATGCACCACGGTATATCGTCTTGAATTGACTTTGTAAGTTCATCCATGACTATGACAAATAAAAAAGGACTCAGAGTCGATCCTTGGTGCACTCCGATAGTAATAGGGATATGGAACTCCGCAGTTCTCCCTACACTAGTACAGACGCTTGTAGTACAATCCTCATACAAATCCATGATGATACTGATATACTTGTGTGAAATGCCTTTTCTAGTTAAGGTCCACCAAAGAACTTCTCGAAGTACCCTATCATATGTCTTTTCTAAGTCAATGAACACTAAATGCAAATCCTTGTGAGCGTCTCTATACTTCTCCATAAGTTGCCGAAGTAGGTGAATAGCCTCAGTTGTTGAGCGACCAGGCATAAAACCGAATTGATTCTCTGAAATCTTCACCGTTCTTCGAAGTCTTAATTTTAATTGAGCCATAATGGGTAAAAAAAAGGCAAACACGTAGTGTATTTGTAAACCTGTGGATAAAATCCACCATATATTTAGGCGAAATGTTGAGAAAATCAGTTAAGAAACCTCTCCTCTCGACAAAATGCAGTGCCTGATATATTGGATTTGAGTGTTAAGCCATGAATTTGCTACATTACGTGTCTTTAAGACCATGCTTTTTGTCCAACTTCCCTGTAAATGTTCAAACAATCTCTTTCACCTTATAAATAAATGCAGATGAACACAACAATCGGTGAATTATTATCTCTGAAACTGATTTTTTCTTTGCGCATCGAAAATATGGCCTTTGCAGCAACGGTTAGTCGAGTCATATTACTTTATTGAGGACGAATAATTTTTATTTTTAATAAATTTTCGAGTATTTTACGATGAACTGATGATATGAATTTTCGAATTGGGATAGAAGCGCTGGAGATCTTTGATCAACGCAACCGTCGCCCCGAGGCGTCAATTCGCTTCGTCAACGGCTCCCAAATTTGCACCGGAAGTGGTTGGTTCTGCCACCGGAAAGGCCAAATCATGGTATTTTTTTAGTTGCAAAACAATTTTAGATATCGTAATATCAAACATAACTAGTGTAAAGCCCGGGGCATGCCCCGGTAGCACGTCTATTTGATACGTATGAGTTAAAATGTAAAATACAAATAGGTATTGTAATTTTCATCAATTCGGGAGTTGATAGATAAACAATTTATCAATCCGGGACCTGAAAGATGAAATGTATCGATACATGACCTGAATGATAGAAAACTAATCTACTAATCTAGGACCCAGATGATTAAATACTATCAATAGAGGACCTAAGTTTTCATAAATTTTATTATTATTTTTATTTTAAAAAATTTGAATATTACGTCGTATTTAGTTTATTAAAGTAATAAAATTTTATGAGGAAAAATTCATCAAATATTAGCAATGGAATTAACAAAAAATTAAATAAATCAAAATCTATGAAATGTTAGGTCATAGATTGAAAGTTTTTCATCATTCGGATCATATACCGATACATTTCACCTTTGAGGTTCCAAATTGATAATTTGTATATCTTTCATGTCCCGGATTGATAAAATTCTTAAATTTGTATTTGTTAATTTAGTTTATTAAAGTAATAAAATTTTAAGAGGACAAATTTATCAAATATTAGCAATGGAATTAACAAAAAATTAAATAAATCAAAATCTATGAAATGTTAGGTCATAGATTGATAGTTTTTCATCATTCGGGTCATATACCGATACATTTCACCTTCCAGGTCCTGAATTGATAATTTGTCTATCTTTCATGTCCCGGATTGATAAAATTCTTAAATTCATATTTGTTAAATGATTATTAAATTATCCATCATCATCATATATTATATATTTACTCTTTAGTCCATATCAAGGTTTTAAATTACGGTCGATGTGTTGCGGTTACAGCCGATGCGGTGTGAATTATTTTCACGTTCAAACGAAATCAAAAAAGGATAAATTAGTGTTTCCCCGGTGCGGCGCAATGAGGGGTTTTCCCGTGAAACAAAATATCTCCGCCATTGCGGCCAAAATCTTATCCATTTTATCTTACATTTTGTTATTTTTCTTATTTTTCTTCTCTTTTTGACGCTGATATCATGGATTGATTCATGTTAACCGATCTCAATATATTTTGTGATTAAGGTGTACGTGAATGTTGTTGTAGAGTCCTATTAATTGTATCACAACCCATTATTTAAAGATGATGAAGTGTTAAATACGTTTTGTATAATTCATCGTTTCAGGTATACTTCATCTCTGTTACATACGCTTTAATTTTAAAATTAAAAATATCCATTTTGTGAAAACGAAATTATAATAAAAAACGAAAAGTGATTAAGGACTCTATCATGTGTTTAGTTACGTTTTCTCTTCGATCTTTTCTCCTATACTTTCTGTAGTTTTTCTCCAGTTTTTTCTCTCCATCGTTTTCTAAATAAACAATGTTATAATTAAAATGTTTTAATTAAATCTTGTTAACCAATAAGATAAAGACACATCAGCAATTTATAACTGAGTTTTACTATATAAAACAATAGATAATAAGATAAAAATGTAGTAGATCTGAAATAGCAAAATGCACGATACATTACCAAAATTTATAGAACATTTTTTTGTGGATCTAGATTTGTAAGAGCATCATCAACAACATTATGGTGAAGTCAGATCATTTTAATCTTTGTATACCAAAATAAAAATAGATTGTTTTAAATGACTCATGATAAAATTTGTGTAGAAAATTACATTAAGTGATTGTTGCTTCATAATAAAAAAGCACGGACAATTTAGTAAGTTTTACTTGATTACATCAATCATATTCTCAAGTTTAAAAAAAGTGTCTGATTCAATTGGAAATGATGGATAAGATTTGTAAAAACATGTGCGTGCGCATATATGTGTGTGTGCGCGAGCAAAAATTACCTTTACTTTCTGTCTCTAATATTCTATTCTTTTTCATGAAAGAACAAAATAACATGAACACCAAAATCATTAATGAATGATTTCTTTTTGAATTAATTTTGTTGCCAAACTACTCAATTTATCTTTATGCATGTTTTGATGTGGTTAGTGGGCGGAATAATTTTATATGTTCTACTTTGATTTTACACAATTACCAATAATGTAGTTCAAAAACAAAGTTGTCATATTTTACATATTTAATTCCAAAAAGAAATTGTGACGCTTATTTTGAAATAACTTAAAAAGAAAAGTATGATAGATAAAATGGGACGTTGACTCGGTGAGTAAGACTCTAATAGCGATCCAAATGTATTTTGAGAAACAAATATGTGTATTTTTAGATAGGTCATTCTTGGTGTACAGTATTTGTACACACATTGTACACTGCCTGTGTACATGACACATACAATTGGGAACAAATGTTGCCTTTTTCTTAACGAGTTGCCTATGTACACAGGAAACTAGGGGCATGTGTGCAAATATATTTTTCCTTTTAGATACTCTACCAATGATCTACATCAACAAAAATAATCACACAACCAGAAGCTCTAACTTAATATCTCATTGATTGTTTTTTTGGCTCATTATATTATGTACATCATATACATGTAATAACTTCAAATTTTGTAACAAAAATTTAAAACCCATGATTGTTTTCAATTTTCTTTCAAAATTGTCGAAATTTCCATGACTAATTCACTCATTTAAATTTAATTCACAAATGTTCTTGTTCTACCAATGAGTTGATTTCAGGTTGGCTTCAGGAGATGCAATGCCTCTATGGATGATGGCCGGATTCGTATCCGTGGTGTTGTTTATGGGCGTCCACACCGCCAAGAACCAATTGATTCACTCTCCATCGGTGCAGGTTAAGAAGAAGAAGAGAGAAAATTTGGTGGAAGTGGATGATCCGAAGACTGTAGTCGGGTCAGCTGATAAATTTGTGAATAAATCTTTCTTGAGGAAAGTTGGGCAAATTCAAGACCCTGAGACCCGGGTTCTCAAGGACCCGAATCGTCGCGATCCTTTCACTATGTATGTTTCTCTCCCAACTCCATGCTTAAACTTGAGTTATTATTAGTGTATGTACAATAAAATGTTTTACTTTCCAAATTTACTTGAATGAAATATTACCAAACTAAAAAAATTGCATATGGTTCACGTTCGTTCCGGTTTAGTTCAATTTGGTATAAATCAGTACAGTTAAACTAAACCAACATGTCTACCCTTACTTTCTACACTTAGAGTTAGACCGATAGACTACCTTCATTGGAGATGAAAATGAACACACAATGTCTAATTTAATGCCTTTTACCTAGACCACACATTCTCCCATTGTGAATGCTCTTAAACGGGCACACTCTAGGATTTGACACCATTTGTCAGGTAAATGCATTTAATTTGACAGGATTGTTAATTTAATAAATAAAAGATAATTCTTGTTATACACAAATTTTTTAAATGTGTGTACAATTTGTATACTAATTTTGATACAAATACTCCATTCGTCCTTTTTTATTTAGCCAAATACTATTTTTCAAGTCAAAGTTGTTCAACTTTGACCGCTTATAATTTATACACGATAATATGGAGAATATGAAAATTATATGAAAATGTTCTTTATTAAAAATATTATCATAAAACTATAAATTTATTAACGTTTACACAAATATATAGGTTAAAATATATTATCAAAGTTTGCGATAGTTGATATTCAACACTTTGGGCTTGGGCCCTTCTGATCTCAAATGAAGGAAAGGTAATATGGCTCCAAAAGTAAAATGTGACAGGACTAGATGAAAAGAGAAATGAAAATTAAAATGTTGGTGATATTTAATTTGATGATGTTCAAATTTTAGGATTGATAAAAATAAAAATGAAAAGTGTGTTAATGAGAAAATTGCATAAGAGTATCCTTATCCTAGTTTTTAATGTCTTGTACATTCCATGGCTTCCAATTTTTTTCGTATATTTCATTATTTATTGATGTTATCTATTTTAAATGTATTTTTGCAGCCCACGGAAGTACGAGTCTCTGGATTTCGCTGGAGCTCACAAGTAAATTAAATAGCAGAGGAAGATAAAGTTTTGAAAGAAAGTAATTTGGTGCATTAATATTCGCATATCATTTACGAGAAGCATATTATATTTATGTTGGTTTTTCTTCTTTCAGCGCTAATTAATCCTTCAATTTGTGGAAAATAAGGTGCTGTTGACTTGTTGCACGTATAGTTGACCGTACTTGTAGTAACTAGTAACAGCAGCACGTACGTAGAAATTTAGAATATACGTATGCATTTTAATTAAAAATTTATAATCTAGAGATATTACAAATGTGGGGCGCTTCTTGATCTAGATGCAGGGCCGGGGCAAGAAAAATGGCTCAGAGGGGTCGAAACTCAACATATATACAGAATGAAAATGTTGGATCATTTTTAAACAATGTCTAATTCGGATACTTCATATGCAGTTTGAATAAATAGGTTCTCGTAGCAAAAAGATAGATTTTCTTTGCTCTATTCTTGAGTCGTGACACATAAGTATTGAGTGAATTATACCCCATTTTTAAAATTTGGGAAACTAATCTATAATATGCATCAAATTTTGCTAATTTTACGTTAAGATAGTGCTGATTTTGCAGAAGTCATAACTGTTTACTCGTAATGAGTTACGGGGGCTATAATACATCAAATCGAAGATATTTCAGAGCTCTACACTCTCAAACATTCAGCGGGGTCGGCTGACCACCCTGACCCCCCCCCCCCCCGGCTCCGTCCCTGTCCAAATGACAATTTAATTTCACTATAATATAAACACAATAGCTAAATGTCCGTTAATTTGTACAATTCATAATTATAGTAATATCATTTGATCGCAAAAAAAAAGTAATATCATGTGTTGTTTAATAATCATCATACTAATGTTTTACTATAAGTCTATAATTACATGCATTAGTGTGCATGAGTTTCACAATTCTACGAAAGATATTCATCATTTTTTTGTAGCGCCCCAGTTTAATTTAACTTGTATTCCTGATTACGCCCTACAATATGTACTTGAGAAGTTTTTAAATGTCAGTTTAAGCAAATATATACGCATATATAATAATGTAAAATTAAACTATGAAGCATCATTTAATGCCTTTTCTTTCACATTATTGACTCGAAGGTGGCATTGCATGTTCTTAAAAACCTTTCAAAAATGTAAAGTATGGAGGTCATGTTTTATTCACCAAATATACCTAATTACTCTCAAACTTGGAAAGCATTGTCATGACAATAATTACTTGTACTATGCAATACGCAAACTTTTTTAGTCCTATTTAGAGTAATTTTCTTTTTTTATCTATTAAACTCTAATTTGTGCCTCCTTTTAATTTGTTAGGGTCACCAATGATATGATATGATAAATGATAATAATATTATGTACTCCGTACTTGTAAGCTTGAATGATTTTCAGTGGGCAGTTATACTAGTTCATTAGCATTAAATTAAAGTATATATTCTCGATCGATTATCTTCCTCTTTGGTTTTAGTCTCACCACGTGAAATATTTTAGGATTAGAAAACTTTTTTACTTATGAGACAAACAAATTACAGTCACTTTAATTTCAGAGTTTCAGCATTTCACTCTGTTCCGTGATGCCTTTGAACCCAGAAACAAATCTCTATTCATAGCCAAATGATAGGAAATTGGAAGCATCTCTCTAAAGAAGAAATTAAAACTCAACGTTATTCCCCAAACAGTAAGTGCCCATAATGTCAATTGTAAGAGTCACCAATACCTTCACCCTCATATGGTCCGATCTCTTATGTCAAGTTTAATGATGTCTCATATCTCTTTTTCAATAACTTTGAGACATGGGGCATGCAACTTTACATAAATTTTTTATAGAGTATCACATGTGTCATCTCAGGGAAAATATCTACGTAAGATTAAAACTGATGACAATTCCCAACCGGGGAGAACTTCGGTACCCATTTAAAAAATGGGATACCGTACCTACCATTCACTTGATTGGTCCAAATAGGTATACCATTTTTAATTTAGACTTAAATAATTCAACTGCAACATTCTGATTGGTCCATGTAAATTAAACAAAGGTACGGTACCTTATGGGTACCATAGAATCTACCTTCCCAAAATATGACCAAACATGATTGAGTTCCCAATTCATGACTGTGAAACAAAATATGAAAAAGAGAATGTCGAATGATATGCATACATTGCATGTCATATGCCATATATTAGGAAATGAAGATATGAAAAAAAATACGTAATTGGGTTTTAGGAAATGAAGATATGAGTCGTATTTTGGAAAATACGTAAGATTTTAGTCTGTACAATTTTCTTTGAAATCATTATATACCGGTACACATACATTCTTTGAATTGATTTCAATATCTCTAACTAACGGTTTTTTCATGTACAATATTGACACGATGAAATTAACTATACATTTAGAATGTTTGTAATTGGGTTGAATCCACCCTCAGACTATAAGTTTGGTAGTATGAAAATAGGATGATTTGGAAAAAATCATTTTTAAATTATATATTTTATTAATAAAATAAAGAAAAAAATATATGTAAAAATAGCTAAAATGGTCATTTAGAGTAACTTCAGCCAAAACAGCTAGAAAAGTGACTTCAACCTTACTTTTTCTGCTTATTACACAATTCAGCGCGCGAAAGCAAAAGTTACGTGTTTGGTGAAAAAGTTGGCTGATAAGCCTGATAGGCCCTGGGTTATTTACTCGGCGAGTACTCGGCGAGTACTCGGTGAGTACTCCCTACTCGGCCTATGACCTTGCAGAGTAGCACATTACTCGGCCCGAGTTATTATTCCGAGTTACTCGCCGAGTACTCGGCGAGTTAGCCAACTCGGTCAGTGGGTCAAAAAGGCGATTTACTCGGGAGTACTCGGTATTTAAAAAAAAACATTACATCTGCTTGGGAAAAAATTAAATTGAGATTATCCTCTGTGTTGTTTCTTATTCTCCCTCATGTTGCCTATTATATTCTTCTCTGTATACTGTAATAAACTCTAAGAATTTTGGATTGTTCTTCGTTTGCTTGTGCTTCTTAAACTGGTGTTTTCATTGTACATTTTCAAGTCTTTGGCCAACTAAAGTGAATGTATTGAATGTACCTCTGAGACCTTAGTTGCTGAATGCTGAAATAAAATCTCTTAATTGAAAAGGTGGGAAAAATATAGCTTAGCAAAAAAGCATCATGTTTGGTTTTGGGTGAGTTGCAATTTTCATTTAGGGAACTACCTTTGAGGACTCGTTGTTTGGTAGGTGCCACTTTGAAGTTACTTTGAAGTTCTTCAATTGGAATAAGAATAGGTGCCAAAAAACTGCAGAAAATATTTGCCTTTTCTTCCACTGCTCGTGGTTCTTGAAGTTGTATTCTGGTATTGTATACGTATTATATGCATTTTAAGACAATTTCTATCCTTTAATTCACTTCTAAACATTTTAAGACAATTTTATTACTATATTTTAAGACTACTATATTTAAATATATTTTTTATATTTAATTAATACTAGGCCGAGTAATCACCGAGTAATCCCGAGTAATCGGTCCTACTCGCTACTCGGCCCTTGACCGAGTAGCTACCGAGTAGCGAGTAAACTACCTAGGATAGGCCGAACAAAGTGGTTTCAAACGGCCTCTATATATCATACAAGATTTGATCACATCAGACTTTGACAATTGTAAAATGCACACACAATTAAACAGACATATATTGCAATTGTATTAGTTTATCAAACCAGATCAGACCATCCAATTCCTCTCTCAATTTGTATAGTTTTTTATATATCATATATTCGAAATCGGTGTTTACTATCTTACTCTATATAAAAAGAGGTGGAAAAACTGGCCACTTTCCCTCCAAAAGATACGGGTCAAATATGGATCACAATCGGGTCATGGATGCTGCAGCACTAGCAATTGATCAGATGTACATTGGGAGAATAATTATCTTGGAACTCGCTATTGCCAGCTTCTACAATACGCTACTTGACTTTTCAAAATTTGAAAACATGTGCTGCCAGCCTAAGGATTATCTAGCATGTACTCAGAATCTATTATCTACTGAATAATAGTGTGTTGCGCAGTATTATGGAGTATTAAATTAGATAGCACAATAATACACAGCTCACGCCCAAGTCTCAATTACCCTATAAATAGCCTCCGGCTAATAATCACAACCCAAAAAGCTCATGCTTTTCTTCTCCCTCAAGCTCTCAATCGCCGGAAAAATCGGCGTTGTTAGAAGATCCATTAATTTAAGGCCGGAGTCGGTAGGTGCTAAAGTTTGGGATGAAAGGGATGTGGACCTAGCAATTCAAGAATGAAAGATTATACCTCTCCGCTAGATGATCGGTGAAGCTGTACAAAAGAAATAAGTTGTGGGTGAGCCCAAGAGGTTGGATACTACCGATTGGGGAGAATCAATGTTGAAAGTTATTCTAGAATTTTGTAGGTGTAATTAGGAACTTCAATTTTTATTTCTTGAGTTCATGGCTAGAATGAGTATCTTATTATCAGTACATTCGATTTATTTCTTTTAAACTACGTATTAGTTAAAATAATCGTTCCCAAGGTCCTTCATTATCTTTTCATTCAAAAAAAAAAAAGTTCCTTCATTATCTCATACGATGATGCGAGTATTATACCTTACTCCGTTGTTGGTTAGACTATGTGCAATCATTACTCCATCAATTAAAGAAAAAGATCAGTATTCAGAAAAAAAAAGATCAGTATTCAGTACTTCAAATGGGGTGTCATCCTTTCCTATTGCAAATTTGCAACTGTGATATGTACGAAAGTACAATTCTTTTAAAATGTAATACTCCGTACATAAATTAAACCCTTAGCTTTAGTATTATACTATCTCCATAGTATGATGGGAAGATAAGAAAATAATGTGATGGAATGTAGGATAAGTCCAAAAAAGTAGTTGTAATAGTGTATTATTTTCAGAATTAGTGAGGGTATGATGGGGAGATTTAGAAATGGGAAGATTTTTTGTTACGGACGAAAAAGGAAAATGAGAAGATTTTTTTGTTACGGAGGGAGTATATTTCTTCTGAACTTTCATGTTTGTCGACGCGCAACTTTAATCGTAATTATATTTAATTACGTATTAGTAAAAGTTAGAAAAAGTTAATATTTTGAATATTCACATCAATAGAAATTTAATAACATTTTAGAGCTTTTAATGAGATAGTATATTTCAAAAAAATATGAATATTTATAATTTCAAACAGTCAAACAATTAGATGCATAAATAAATAAATTAGGAATTGGCTTTTATTTGAAAGCATTTCCACGCATCTCCCTTTGAGTAAATGATAAATATTAGTAAATTGAAAAAATATTTCTATTTAATTTTGTTTCTTCACACAAATTTTTTTTGTTGTTATGGCTTACGTGATGGATAATTATGAGAGTTCATGTGATTGAAACATAAATGCATCGATTGCATAATTCCAAAACGTTTAATGTTCTATTTTACTGTATTCTTAGCGGTGATTTGTGTTGCTCTATAAATCTATAATAATAATTGTACATACGGCAATTATTAGTTATTAATTTATTTACAGTGTTGAATTATCCTATTCTATGCACCAAGGAAATGACGGGTTTACGGGTTTTCATGCTGTCCTCAAAACAAGGGGCTGATTTATTATACTCCGTCCGTTATTTCTCCCTCTAATCTTTGACACAATATTTATGAAAAAAATAATAGGGTAAGTATAGAGTATGTAAGTAAATGATAAAGTAGGAAAATATATATTAAAAAGAGTTAAATGATGATATAGTAGAAAAGATAGTATATGAAGTAGAGTAAAATGATGATAAAGTAGGAAAGAGAAAGTAGTTTTTAAAATGTAAGAAGGATAAAAGTAATAAAAGTAAGAGTATTTTATAAAAAACATTCCTAAAACAAAAAGAAGGATATTTAATAAAAAAACAGATGAAAATGGAGAGCCCATTTGATAGCATGAAAATCGGCTGATTTGACCGATTTTGCTAAAACTTAGGAAGTTTTGGCTGAAGTGACTGTATTGGCTGATTCTGCTGACTTAACCAAAAAAGTGTAAAATAGCTAAAATGAGAGTTCATGTGTGAAAATATATGAGGTTTCTGGCTGCATTGGCTCATATCAGCCGATGAGGTTTCTGGCTACATTGGCTCAATTTCATGTGTGAAGAAATATATGAGGTTTCTGGCTGCATTGGCTCAAAAAAGGTGTAAACCTTATTTTTTTTTTATTAATAAAATAAAGAATTTTTTTAATGTAAAATAGCTAAAATGGTCATCTACGGTAACTTCTGTCAATACAGTCAGAAAAGTAACTTCAACCTTACTTTTTCTGCTTATTACACAATTCAGTGCGCGAAAAAGTTGGTTTATAAGCCCGATAAGCCAAAAAGCATTGTTGTCAAACGACCTCGGAATAAAAGACAAATATTAAAAAATGAAGGGAGTATGAAAAATAATCGATCCGGAAAGCCCTATTCCAACCCAACTTTGAAAGGGGTGGGGGCCAAACAAAAACTAAGAACCCCATTTTTCTTTAAATTGTTCTAATTTTCTTACCTGTATTCTCATTTTTATAAATATATATATATATCAAAAATCATAACTTTTTATGAGCTTTTATATTACACCAATATTAAATACACAAATTTTAACTTTTTTGTTTGTTTGAAAACCTCCTCCAGTTGAAACTTTAATTTTAAAACTATATATATCCAATATGGTGTAATATGAAAGATTATAAAAAGTTACGAATTTTAATATTTTTTTTGTAAAAATTAGAATGTATATAAAAAGGTAAAATATTTTAAATAATAATCATGTTTATATTTTCCATGGATCCCATTTCTTTTCACTCGGAGTGCCTTCACCCCATTCACTTTTTTTTAAAAATTTATTTTCTATAGGCAATGCCCCTATTTATTTACTTCCAATAATAACATTTTAGTTATAAAAACTATTAATACCATATTATTATTTTGGAAAATATATTATACCGTGCATCGCACGGGTGAAATACTAGTTAAGTGAAAACTCTAACTAGCTTGATTGCTTGATATGTAATTATGTATCCACTATTCCACTAATACTAAATTAATAAATCACCGAGAAAGGAAATTATTTCTAGAATCAAAAGTTCTAGTGCTTTTCACTTATGTTTCTAGTTTGTCAATGCCTTAATGGAAAGTCCGAAACGGCGAGCTGGTGAACCAAGAAAGTTCGGAGCGAATGAGCGGGCCGGGCCGGGCCGTAAGGGTGATCATATTGACAATCTAGAAGGAGTGGCTTTGTCCATTTAACCTGAACAAAATACGGAATTGGATATTTCTTTGAAGCTCTCTATAAGGACTATAATAATTTGTTCCTCCAATAATTTAGCACGTCTAGAAGGTGTCAATTTACCACACTTAAGCTAGAATGAACAATTACTCTTTATCATTCCATTCATACCTTCAGATTTATGCAATTAATAGTTAATACTCTCCTCACTACTCTAGTAATATTCACATAATCAACATTATTCTATTTTAACATCTAATTTCATATAATAAATCTATTTTGTTTTGAATTTTGGGTTTTGGTGATTCAAAAAAATTATTGTTGAGAGTATGTAGCTTTTAATTACTAATACTCATATATACCTTCAAAGACGAGTTACTTTATTATCAGTAAATCATCTTAAACGCATAAGAAAAGTATTTAAATTTTTTTAATCAATTTAAAATATTTTTCCTAATATTTTAATAACTATATATGTGACACATAGTGTATGGTTTACGTAGTAGATATTAATAAGTAGGGAAAAGTACCGAAAATGTATTTGTGGTTGGAAACGTTTTTAAATAGGGGGTGTACGTGGCTCATTTTTTAACATAGTCATGTGTTTAAACTTTGTTATCATAGGAGGGCCGTCACCCGTTGCGTGACACCGTTAGACATCGCCGGAGCAAGACAAGGAACATGCAATAACTCTAATGTTTAAAAGTGCGCATAAAATTAAAAAAAAAAAGGTGAGATGAGCCCCATCAAGGCGACCTCTGGGTCATCTTTATTTTTGTTTCGAGCCACCTTTGTCGACAGAATGTCAATCGGAAAAACCATATTAGTGAATCCACTTTTAAAAAAATAACCAAACAGGTCCGAAAATCCAAATAGTGTCATTCTCTGGATTATTATCGTCATTCTTACATAAAACAATAAGTGTTTTTTCTATATTCAAATAGAATATTAAAAAATTTGGTCCGAATATGAGTAAGCTATTATGAGTACACACTCATGATGAAATTCAACATAAAAACAATTGTATACTTTCCTTATATAGATGTCTCAAAATAAATTTGCAATTTCACAAAAAGAAATTTCTCGATTGCAAATGCTTCAATCATCCTTACTTTTTAATAGATCTCATATAAAGTTGCAAAAATAGATCTCAAATAAAGGATGTTTTCTTTAGGATTGAAATTTTCTAGTCTAATCTGGTCTGGTCTGAACTTCCTGATCTGATCGGATCAGGTCTGTAAATGTCTGGTCTCTATGTAATTTATAATTATAGAAGTTTGATCTGGCCTGATTTGGTTTGATGTGGGACTATAAACGTCTAAATGAAAACATCGAAAGTAGGAGTATATTTAAAAATTTATAGAAAAACCTTATAAATTTATAAAATGAGTTGGAATAGTCGTACTTTGAATATCCTCCGAAGCCGCCTCTGAATAATACGAAGTTTTTTCTCCCCTTCTCCCACCACCCTGTCAATACATTTTCAGGAAGGAGTTTTTTCTGCTGAAACTCTGTATAGCTAATTGTTGTATTTATACCCGAACTCAATAAACAGAAAATCACTTCCCCACAGAATTCTTTACCCTGCTCCTCTCTGTTCTTTCTGCATTCGTACTAGGAGGAAGGCGATTAAGATTACGGTCAAACAAAGTCAAACCATTCAAAAAAAACTGGAGTGGTTGGGGGATGGAGCCGGCGGATCTGGGGATATTACGAGGTAGCAGCATACGAGGTAGCAGTAGTCTTCGGGACAGCCTGAGAGGGAGCAGCAATTCCATATGGAGGGACACTGGAGCTGAAGTGTTCTCGAGATCATCGCGCGACGAGGACGATGAAGAGGCTCTCAAATGGGCAGCGCTGGAGAAACTCCCGACGTTCGACCGCCTCAGGCGCGGCCTGCTCTTCGGGCCCGGGACCGGGCCGGTTTCGGAGGTAGATATCAACAACCTCGGATACCAGGAAAGGCAGGCCTTGCTTGATAGGCTCGTCAAGGTTGCTGATGAAGACAATGAGAGGTTCTTGATCAAGCTCAAGGATAGAATTGATAGGTAATAAAGACTAATGCATGTTCTACCAGACATATTTTGCACAAACAAAATAAGACATACGAAGTATTTTGATAGGTAATAATTAAATACTAATGCATGTTCTACAATCAAAATAAGACATACGATAGTATTTTGCAAATTTTGCAAAAACAAAATAAGACATATTTTGTTTGTGAACCGGATTCACAAACAAAAAAACTTTCATAGACATGATGAATATAAGAGTGAGTACAACAGGAATGATTGTTCTACAATTCCCTTATATAAGTCTCTCTTTTTTTGCCAATGCTTTTCATATTATATTGAAAAATGGCAGAGGTGAAACCAGAAATTTATTTAGTAGTACTAAATAAATTTATTTACCGAAAAGGTTTTGTCATAGAGATTTTTCTTGATTGACAAACTTTAGACAATAACTTTAAATATTATACAGAGTATTTGTATATAATTATAAATTTTATACTTCTATGAAATTTTGATATCATTAGTCAAAGTCATTGTTTGATCAAGAAAAATCAATTTGCGAACCTTTATATGACAGAAAGAGTATTAAGAAAACAGAAAGTTTTACTTTGCAAGCGCCAAAGCTTAAAATAATAATATATCTTTTATTGATCAAGATATGTATACCTACATTTGTACATTAGATTTTTTTCTCTGAGAGGCTGAAAGCTCCATCCAGCCCCTCCTATATCTGCCCTGAATTTGTACATTATTTTTCATTAAAAATTGGATTATGATTCTTGCAGAGTTGGAATTGATATGCCAACCATAGAAGTGAGGTTTGAGAATCTGAATATAGAGGCGGATGCCTATGTGGGAAGTAGAGCTTTGCCTACTTTCATCAACTTCACTACTAACTTCATCGAGGTAACTGTTTATATAGGTCAACTTAATTATGTGTACTTCAATCTATGTATATGTATCTTAAATGATGTAAGGGTCATTTGAGTACATCAACTTGTATGAGATAGAGTAAGAGTATATTATATTGCATTTGATCTTTTTAAATACACAGATTCGGGTTTTTAGTGTTAATGAGTACAACCATTAGATTCACACGTTAATATGGTAGAGTTAGCTAAAAGAATGCTGATAGATCGACTTCTTGAAGATCGACGTCAGCCCTCAACCACTTAATCGACTTCCCCTTGGTCGACATCAGTCTCCCGTAGGTCGACTTCTCCTTGGTCAATGCATCCCTACTGGCCGACGCCCCCCGCAGGTCGACCTCCAAAGGTCGATTTTCCCTTTTTGGCCGACTTCGTGAAGGTCGGCGTCATAACCTTGGTCCATTACCGCTTCTTACTCAACATGTCGTTAGTCAGCTCAGTCGTATTAACGTGTTAATCTAACAAGTGTACTTAATTAACACTAAAACCCCAAATTTGTGTACTTAAAAATATCAAATGCAATATAGTGTACTCTTTACCTCTCCTCATACAAGTCGGTATACTCAATTGACCCTTTGCTCTATCTTAAACTCATATTCTTCTTTAATCTCCAATGATCATTGGAAATTTTAAGAAACACGAGTTTAGAATGGAGTACGAGTTATCATTATCATTAATTTTAAAATAAAGTTATCAATAATTAAATGACAAAGTTGACTTGAGAAATCATAAAGATTTACTATATAAATTTAGAGATTAGAAGGGAGTTAAGTTGATTACTTGAATAATGTTCGAATGGTGAAAAATAGAGTAAATCACAACCATTCATAAATTTCGAAATTAAATAGGGAGATTTATTTAAATAGGAGTAAATAAATCCATAATTGTTAAAATAGGAGCAATACTTAAAATTTCCCCAAATAGGAGCTATTATTTGCACTTGGACAAAAGTACCCTAAAGTTTGGCAAAACCTACTACCACTGACAAAACAACGGACCGCTGCCCGTCGCCGGCCACCGCCGCCCGTCGCCGGCCACCGCCGCCTCTAGTGGCCGGTGCCGCCGCCGCAGCAGAATTGGACGCCGCTGCAGATCTAACCGTCGGCATTGCAGATCTAGTCATCTCCGCTGCAGATCTGGCCATCGCCGCCATAGATGTTGCCAGATCTGGTGGACGCCATTCATCGGTAACTGCTCCTGCAGATCCGGCCGCTTCTGCTGCAAATCCGACTTCCGCCGTTGCAGATCCGGCCTCCGCCGCTGCAGATCTGGCCGCCATCGACACTAATGCCAACATCTTTATGAGAATGCCAACATGAATGGAGAATGCTATATTAATGGCAATTTCAAAGGAAAATATGAAATTTTTAAGAGAAAAAATGCCATTTTGATGGCATTTTAGAGTATGGTTTGGCATTTCTTCGTGAACAAAGCATGTCCAGAATATCTCATTTTTTTTTGCAACTAGCACTGACAATGAAGAGGGGGGAGGCAGATTCAGAGAAGAAAAGGCGGAGGAGAAAGAACAGTTTTGAGAACAACAAGATACTTCACCCCAGTCACCAAATCCGAGTTCACTACCTGCTGAAACTTCCTTGTTGGCCCTTGCTGCTACTCTCTGCACTAGGAAGCTCGTCTCTTCACGCCGGAGATGATGACCAGATAAGCGGATGGGAATAGATGAGAAAAGGTCGGAGTAGATGGTGAGCATAATGGAGAAGGGGTGAGCGAAGAAAATGATTTAGGGATTGCTACTGTGCGAGAGTGGAGAAAATAGAAGAAAGACGGAAAAGGGTGAGAGAGCAAGATGATTACCCGGATGACTGCAGTGCATGAGTGGAGAAATTAGATGGAGGGTAATTTTGGAACAAAAGTCTTATTTAGGGAATAAAAATACACCTACTCCTATTTTGGAATTTCTTCAACAATTTAGTCCTATTTAGGACAAAATTCCCAATTAAATACTGACGATATAATCTTTTTTTTTTAAGTTTCATGAAATATTTCATGAAAAGCTCTTCTTAAAACTAAAAGTGAAGTAGATGTAAAATTCAATGCAAACATTAACAGAAGACCAGAAGTTTATTGTGTTTCATCTTATACTAATGCTTGAGGTCATCATAAACGTACACTAATCTTATCGATGAGAAATTTTAATCCCCATCATTAAAAAATATAGAGTTTACAAAACGTCTTTTTGTAATCACTCTATATTTAAAATGTAAATAAATACAATGTCGATTTATGGATTCTATCCACCAATTGTATATAAATCAATACTAGAAAGTACTAGTGCGTATAAAAGAGTGGTATAATTTTTAATTTGTTAGGACATCTTACATTTATAATCCTTTATATAATTAATAATTAAATGCATGTATGGATTAAAATTTAAATATACTACGTGTATATGTATATCTAATATATATACCTCATCTGCTGATCACTGTTGTAACTAAAACTAAGTATGTGTTTTTTGCTCCTTGACTATGTAAAAGGATTTGCTGAACGCACTTCACATAATCAAAACCAAAAAGAGGAAATTCACTATCCTCAATGACGTCAGTGGGATCGTGAAGCCCAGCAGGTTAGTTGGACTACACAAGCCTGGCCAGCCCACTGTTATTAAACTAATTACCTGAATTTGGCTTATTAATTAAGAATCTTTTAATGCTACACGCAGGATGACGTTGCTGCTGGGGCCGCCGGGCTCCGGAAAGACGACGCTGCTGCTGGCAATGGCCGGAAAGCTCGATAAAGACCTGCGGGTGAGCGGGAAGGTGACGTACAATGGCCATGAGCTAAACGAGTTTGTGCCACAGAGAACAGCTTCTTATATTAGCCAACATGATCTCCATATCGGCGAAATGACCGTTAGAGAAACGTTGGAATTCTCTGCCAGGTGTCAGGGCGTTGGTTCCCGTTATGGTTCGTCTATCTTCCCCGCCTGCCTCAAACTGATGGGGTTTTGTTTGCTTATCACTTGTCATACATTAATGTATTTTGAACTTAACATTCTTTTAATCTATCTATCTCCAGAAATGTTAGCAGAGTTGTCTAGGAGAGAAAAGGCTGCTAACATCAAGCCAGATCCTGATCTGGATGTCTTCATGAAGGCAAGAATTTATACTTTTTACTAAAAGTATTTGCCACTTTTTTGTTTCAATGAAAAAGCCTTCTATCATACGATTAGGCATTGATACCATCGCCCGATCGAAGGAGCAACTCGAGTAGCTAATCACCTAACACGCAAGCTTGCTTTTACTTTAGGAGTCCTCATGCTTCTAATTGTATGAAACCTCCACAAAACATACAGACCAAGTTAACTGCTATCCACAAAGAACACAAGCAAAACAAACAAAACAGTGTAACAATGGGTCAACACTAGCCAACCACTAAAAGCTCCACACTGGTTTGCCTGAAACCGCGCATTCAGTCTATGTAACTAACCAATATTAACTATTATTAGAAAAGCCTTTGATCAGACCCCAACAGCCATGCATGTCAGTGACACACTATAAGTCTATAAGTCTATAACTAGTGTCTTCTGTTAGAAAAGTATCACGAACATATGATAATTAATTTAGACGGTTAAACTACCGGCTAGAAATCCAGGCAGGGCTTTCTCACGACTCCCGCTTTCACCTTGTTTTCTACTTCACGTGATCACAATCTAAACCGTCATATACGATACTTCTACCCGTCCTCATCCATCACTAAGAACCTCTGTTTTTCTCACTAGCAATCCTAAGATCCCTTCCTAGCCTTCTCCTTCCACTGTAGTCCTCATCTGAAAACTTCCCAAATGCCAAGGAGGCTACAAACCAATCAACTGGAACTAAAAACCATAGTAAAATGATCGCAAGCCAGTGGAAAACCAATGCCACAGAAATCATGACTGATTCAAGATGATGAAAAACAGGCAATGAAACTCCAGCATGATGAAAACTAACCTGAAAACTTTGATCGAAAACTTTTGGGACAAACTTATAGGAGGAGTAAACACCACACCCAGACTCCAAGATGACCGGCCTTCTCATTGATGAAAACAAAAAGGCTATTGTAGACAACTCCTTACTTAAAACCGCTGAACCCTAGGTCGACACAAAACTACTTCCTACATGAGGGGAACAGACCGCAGTGTCTGAGAGAATATAAAATTAACAACACAGTAATATAGAAACTCAATAGTATATTATTGCTATATCAACCCAATATATTATACAACACGATATGAATAAGTACCGTAAACATATTGCCAGCACTAATACTGCCAGTCTGCCATATAGTTTTAAAAGAGAACTTTCCCAATCGATTAGCTTTGCTCTTTCTATCCTAACTTCTAAATCAATTAAATTGCAGGCAGCAGCAACAGAAGGGCAAGAAGCCAATGTTGTCACCGATTACATTCTCAAGGTAAGCATATGGATTGATGAACAAGAAAACAAAAACTACTAATAATTTGTGCAGATCGATGAGAGAAAAATGAAAACAAATACATGGACTAATGTAGTTTGACTTTATCTGTTTGTAATGGCAGATTCTGGGACTGGACATATGTGCAGATACGATGGTGGGAGACGAAATGCTAAGAGGGATATCCGGCGGACAGAAGAAGCGAGTGACGACCGGAGAAATGATCGTCGGGCCGGCAAAGGCTGTCTTCATGGACGAAATATCCACCGGACTGGACAGCTCCACGACCTACTCCATCGTGAACTCGCTCAAGCAATACGTCCACATTCTCAAGGGCACCGCCGTCATTTCGCTGCTCCAGCCGGCCCCTGAGACCTATAACCTGTTCGACGATATCATCCTGTTGTCCGATGGCTACGTTGTTTACAACGGCCCTCGCGAAACTGTGATCGATTTCTTTGAATCCATGGGGTTCCAGTGCCCTGACAGGAAAGGCGTTGCTGATTTCTTGCAAGAGGTGAGTGATCCTAATTCCACATTTCCACGTACATTTTTAGTGATGTGATCTGATCTCGTCTGATCTGACTAGTATTGTCCGGTTTTTTTTGTATTTTTATAACTATCCAAGTCTGATCTGGTATAATCTGAACTGGTCTGTTCTGGTCTGATCTGAACTGGTCTGATATTGTCTGATCTGGTCTGGGATGAATTACGGTCAAGTAAAAACATCCTAAATCATCATAGACTATTATTGTTGGACTATTTAATGAAGTATGGAGTAATATAGATCATACGGAGTACTCCCTGCGTCTCATTTATATTGTCCCGTTTTACCTTTTCGGGAAGTCCCACTTAAATTGTTTCATACCATATCTGTCAAAGTTTGTGTGGTTCTAAATCATTCTTACTTTATTCTTACTTTATCAATTAATATCAACCATACAAACTCACTTTTCTTAATAACTGTGCCGCCCTCTTCCGTCCCAATATAAATGGGACGGAGGTAGTATTTGATAAATATTATAGATAAGTAAATTATACTAGTAATTTGTATTGGTATAATTTGATGTCTCAGGTAGTAATTTACTAATTTTCTTTTTTTGAAAAACTTTTATACTCGTATATAATGCCCATATTAGTATCATTGAGGAGATTTATCCAACTTTCTTAAACTTTGTGTCAAAAAGATTGAGATTACTTTATATAAGTATATTATTTCCATTTCTAAAAAAGTAATAGATCGGTCAATTAACACTTTGACATCTTTGAAACTTTGACGAATTATCTGATTTTATTAAGAAAATGTATTTTTAATCCTTGCAAATATGATACAAATTGGTTGGCTCCCTACAATATGATACAATCCTTGCAATATTTTTTATTTTGTATCTAGTCTATCTCTAACTGTGAAACCACTATAAAAAAATTATATTCGGTAACATAGATCTAGTACGAATATTTATATTTATCCTTTTATATTTTTAGACTAATGTCCTTTTATATTTTTAGACTAATATGAGAGTTTAAAATAATTTAAACTTATTATTAGAATTGTTATAATATGTACTAAAAATCTTCTCAAAATATAATATTATTTAATAACATGACGAAGAATTAGAGAAAGCCTATTAATCAGGGTAGTTTCGTTATCAAACTTTACGAGATGACAAAGTTTTTTTTATGTATTTTTAAAGAATTATACTCCACTTTCCCTTAAACTTTCCAGTTGAACGTCACACATATTTGCGCATGATAAAGTTTTGTTTTGTATTTTTAATTACTACTATTTTTAAGGGGCAGTTGTGACATTTGTTGATGAAAATTCTTTTTATGGAAATAAGATGTTTGTGAGATATTTATTTTGGACATTCAAATAAAGAAAGTGTGAGATTGTTTTTGAAATGAGGTAGTATTTTTTTAGTACAAGGCACTTTTGTTATACAATTTTCCCGTTATGTTATTGGGTTGAACCGTTCAAGTGTTTTTAAGTTGTATACTGATGGTATTAACAAGTGTTATACTTCATCTTTACAAAAAAGTGTTCTTATGAAATGTGAATTTGATCATTTGTAGGTCACATCAAAAAAGGATCAACACCAATATTGGATGCGCAGAGATGAACCTTACAGGTTCATTACATCAAAGGAATTTGCAGAGGCATATCAATCTTTCAATGTCGGAAGGGAAGTGGCAGAGGAACTGTCAGTCCCATTCGACAAGAGCAAAAGCCATCCGGCCGCCTTGACGACTCAAATGTATGGCATAGGAAAGCGACAACTCCTAAAAGTATGCACACAGAGAGAGTTTTTGCTCATGAAGAGAAATTCATTCGCTTACAACTTCAAATTCTTCCAGGTATGTACATTGATCCTTTTAATCCTTTTAAGCCACATTTCCATTCACATTTTTTCCTATATAGTTCATTCATGTCTCTTTTGATTCAACCCAGCTGATGGTGATGGCTTTGATTACAATGACCATGTTTTTCCGTACTAAGATGAGCAAAGACAATGAGACTGATGGAGGGATATATAGTGGTGCCCTATTCTTTGGTGTGATTATGATTATGTTTAATGGCATGTCTGAGACTCCCATGACGATTTTCAAGTTACCTGTGTTCTACAAGCAGAGGGACCTCCTATTTTTTCCTCCATGGGCATATGCTCTTCCTTCCTGGATTCTTAAAGTTCCCATTACGTTAATAGAAGTCAGTGTCTGGGTGTTTCTCACTTATTATGTCATCGGATTTGATCCTAACGTCGGCAGGTATAACTTTCATAACTTAGTCTTGTTCGAGGCATTGAGTTGAGTCTACCTCACCCCAAACGATGCTCAAGAGATGTTAATGATCTGTTATAGAATACTTTACACGTCCTCATCCCACTTTAACATGTCTCACCATCACAATAACTTGAAAGGTGGACAAATGAGCCAAACAAATCACACTTCATACTATTTTAAATTGAGTCTAACTCACCCAAAAAGACTCGTCAATATATGAGAATTAACATATATATAAGACACATATTTGGTAAGCATATAGTATATCACACACTACAACAATGGAAATAATTTTTGTTGATGTTTTCTACAGATTGTTCAAACAATTCTTGTTACTAGTGATGGTAAACCAGATGGCTTCAGGATTGTTCCGATTTATTTCATCCGTTGCTAGAACTATGGGAGTTGCAATGACATTTGGATCCTTTGCAGTTCTTCTCCAAGTTGCTCTAGGAGGTTTTATCCTTGCACGAGGTATATATCCACATGTTTCAGACTTAGAGTACTTGCATGAAATATTTGTCAATCATAGTCTAAGTACATTGACAAGTTCTTATGTTTCATTGTTGTAGAGGATGTGAAGAAATGGTGGATTTGGATGTACTGGTCTTCCCCATTAATGTATTCACAGAATGCAATCCTTGTGAATGAATTTAAGGGGCATAGCTGGAGAAAAGTAAGTGATCTTGTTTGTATTCATGCACCTCATGACATTACAATTTGTTAGAGTAGCATCACAAAATAAAGTAGTGAGTGGTGAACTAATAACACTTTGTGTTGAACTAGCTAAAAGATTAAATGCTAAAAGGAAGATTAAGAGTAGTTAAATTGCTTCTAAGTGAGTTTACATCTTTATATTTAGCCGATGTTTACACCGTAATTAGTTTAATTGCTAGTTAGAGCTTAATTAACTCTGATATCATAATAAATCAGATCTAGATCAGCCCAACAAATTCTTAAAAGTGAGGTTCACCTACTCATATACTATATTAGATATAGATCTAGTAAACATCTTATATGAACACTTACATACAATATTTTTATTGTCTACATGATACTAACTAACTTTTCATTTCTACAGAACGCAACGTCTAGCACAGGAATACTTGGAGATGTTGTCGTGGAATCCAGAGGATTTTTCGCTGAAGCAAAATGGTATTGGATAGGTCTGGGAGCACTTCTTGGATACACAATCGTTTTCAACATATGTTACATGTTGGGGCTCCAGTATCTTAATCGTGAGTACCTGATTCCTACAAGTCATTTGGCTTAAAAGTACTATTCTTTAATTTTCAAATGCAAATAAACAATAATACTTGCAGCATATGGTAAACCTCAAGCCAATGTATCCGATGATAATGAAAATGGAGAGACGAGTATTGTATACTCATCAAACTCTTTGGACCAAATCGCTGCTAATGGAGTTACTCAGACTAAGAAAAGAGGAATGGTCCTTCCATTTGAACCATATTCGTTGACGTTTGACAATGTTGTATACTCTGTTGACATGCCACGGGTATTAAGAAATTGATATTTTTTTAAGTCCTACTTTTTCTATCTCATACAAGATTATTCAAGGGGTTGTTTTTAAAATGAAATCCAGGAAATGAAAGAGCAAGGTACTTCTGAGGATAAATTGGTATTGTTGAAGGGTGTAAGTGGAGCCTTTAGGCCTGGTGTTCTTACAGCTTTGATGGGTGTTAGTGGGGCTGGAAAAACAACCTTGATGGATGTGTTGGCAGGAAGAAAAACTGGTGGATATATAGAAGGTGACATAAAAATTTCTGGTTATCAAAAGAAACAAGAAACATTTTCCCGTATCTCAGGGTATTGTGAGCAGAATGACATACACTCTCCTTTTGTTACTGTTTATGAGTCCCTGGTCTACTCAGCATGGCTACGTTTACCAGATAGCGTTGATTCTAAAACCAGAATGGTTAGTAACTAAGTTCTCATTATAAACTCCCTCTTTTAGCATAATAGATAAAAAAAAATTAGTGTTATCCATTTCATGTTAGGTTAACATTGTTAGTTCAATGTTGTGTTCATTTAGGTATTCTGTGAGCTTCTAATTATTCTTACAACATACCCTTTTGTAATATTAAGATTGACTCCATTTGAATTTCAAATCTAATAAAAATTATCTAAAGCATTCTCTTAAAACATGCTCATTATTCCTATATCTCTTCTACTATCGAAGACATTTCTTCCACAAGATGGAAGAATATTAGGCATCACGAGTGGCTTAGATGACTAAGGAGAAGCGTTTTGACCTTTAAGACTGGAAATTTCAGACAATCTTCATCGTATTTGACAATAATTAAAGCTCAAAGATAACATATTGACTATTGAAAATACAAGGTTCAACCAGTAATTACATCTAACCTCGAGTTGGTCATAGTATGTTTTGCTAATATATGTTACAGAAAACTAAAAAATAAATAATAGTTGGTCTTGCATATTGTAGATGTTTGTGGATGAAGTTATGGAATTAGTTGAGCTAGTCCCATTGAAATCTGCCCTTGTTGGGCTTCCTGGAGTTAATGGTCTCTCAACGGAGCAACGCAAAAGGCTCACAATTGCAGTTGAGTTAGTGGCAAACCCGTCTATTATCTTCATGGATGAGCCAACTTCAGGACTTGATGCTAGGGCAGCTGCCATTGTGATGAGAACTGTGAGGAACACCGTTGACACTGGAAGAACAGTTGTTTGCACCATCCATCAACCTAGCATTGACATTTTTGAAGCTTTTGACGAGGTAATTTTCCCATTTTATTATCTGCTCCAGTGAGTTTTTCATTAATTAGTTTTAAGGAAAAATTATTGGTATATCAAATATAAATAGTAGGGAAAAGAAAATGTAAAGCAAAAAAATATGAATGAGAAACAAAAAGTATGAGTATTTATGTATTTATGGATAATAAAAATATTGGTCGATAATATAATTTCAATACACACTAACTAACAAGTAATAATATAATTTTAATATACACACTAACTGTGGTGACCTCATTGATGTCCAATCTTACATTGCAGTAATTATGGTGCTATTTTTGGGTAGTGGTTATGTAGCATTATTCTTGTTTGAGTTCCATTTCAGTAATATATAGGAAAACCCTTGAAAAACTTTTGAGAAAAGGATAAAGAGCAATTGACAAAACACAAAAGAAGTATATATTCAATATGCACTTACTTTCCAATGTCATCTTGCAGTTATTCTTAATGAAACGAGGCGGACAAGAGATTTATGTTGGACCATTGGGACACCATTCATCTCATTTGATCAAATACTTTGAGGTAAGATTCGAAAAAGAAAAAAAGAATTATATCTAATTTCCTCATGTTTGTAGTACGTTAAGGCCTAATTCATGGCGCTCGTCAATGTAGTCTATGAATGGAGTTTCAAAAATAAAGGGTGGCTACAATCCGGCAACTTGGATGCTGGAAGTGACTAGTTCATCTCAAGAAGTAGCACTTGGTGTCGATTTTGCTGAGGTGTACAAGAACTCAGACCTATTTAAGAGCAATAAATCATTGATTTTAGAGCTAAGTACACCTCTCCCCGGGAGCAAAGATTTATACTTCCCTACTCAGTTCTCCCAAAGTTTCTGGAGCCAATGTATGGCTTGCCTTTGGAAGCAACACTTGTCGTACTGGCGCAACACATCTTACACTGCAGTGAGGTTTCTCTTCACAGCACTTATAGCCGTTACATTCGGAACCATATTTTGGAACCTTGGTACCAAAACTAAACGGAGACAAGATCTGATGAATGCCATGGGATCCATGTATTCTGCGGTGTTATTCCTCGGTGTGCAAAACTCTTCATCAGTCCAACCTGTGGTATCAGTCGAACGTACTGTCTTCTATAGGGAGAAGGCTGCTGGAATGTTTTCTGCCCTACCATATGCCTTTGCACAAGTGAGTAGAAATATATAGCTTTATATTGTTTTTACTAAGATATTCCACGTTAGCCAGATACATAAATATAAACATTCATAACTCATTAAAGATCTTAGTTACTCATTCTAGGTTGACCTCTAAGGAGCATATAAACTACGCAAAATTTGAATTTCTGAAACTTCAGATCTCGTTTTCAACTTTCCATGTCATATGTATACATACAAATTGGGAAACCTATTTTCCATAATAACTTAGCTCTTCAAAATGTTGGGTTTCGCTATTTTTCATTGGGAAAGTTCCCGAAATAGGACTAAAACAGTTTGAAAATTCCAAAATAGGACTCCCAAGTTTTTTATTCCCAAAATAGGAGTAATTACTGTCATGTTTGGAAAACACTGTCATGTTAGAAGTCTGGTACTGCCAAAACATGACAGTAATTAGTCCTATTTTGGGAATAAAAACATGGCAGTCCTATTTTGGAATTTTCAAACCTTTTTAGTCCTATTTCGGGTAATATCTCTTTTTCATTTAATTTCTTGATGGGAATTAGTTTTATGGGATTTCTGGATGGACTTTTTTTGGAACTACTTTATATATTTCTTATGGGGTTTATCTAGAGAATGATAGTTTTGTAACATTGTATAGCGCTTTGCTTTGCTAGAAATATATTATATACTGTCAACTATGTACTAATATGTGAACAAAGTCTACATCTAAATATGCAGACTACTTTTATCTTATGTTCTATGCAGCAAAGTTTATATGAAAAAAACATGTGTACACATATAAGGAAAATTTACTTATAGATATTTTTTCCCACGTTTCGTATCCTATTTTAAAAATATGCATTATCTGTCGTTTCCCATTTCCCGTTTCACTTTATCTTAATTGAGCTTTTAGTATAGAACATCAATTATTTAAAACTTTACCATTCAACCTAAGATATTGCATCACCCGACAACCACTCAAAACTTTTTGTTTGCAGGTGGCTATTGAAATCCCATATGTATTTATGCAATCATCTGTATATGGCTTGGTTGTTTATGCAATGATCGGGTTTGAATGGAATGCGGGAAAATTCTTCTGGTACTTGTTCATGATGTTTTTCACATTGTTATACTTCACCTACTATGGGATGATGTCTGTGGCCATCACTCCCAACCAAAATGTGGCATCCATTGTCTCTGCTTTCTTTTATGGAGTTTGGAATCTCTTCTCAGGATTCATAGTTCCAAGACCGGTGAGTTCGCCACACATTCTAACAAAAGTTATTACCTTAATGGAAATAAAACTTTGTTTTCTGTAAACAGGAGTTGATACTTTTTTTAGGGTAATTTGTGTTCGAATAACCCTTCATTTTTCATGTCGATTATTTATTTGCACCTCATGACAAAATTGAATGTGATTTCATTTAATTAATTGGCTGATATGCAGAGGATGCCTATCTGGTGGAGATGGTACTTCTGGGCATGCCCAGTTTCGTGGACTTTATATGGATTGATTGCATCCCAATTTGGAGACCTCGAGGATATAGTGGTTGATGCAGGCAACTTGTCTGTAAAGAATTTCTTGGATTCTAACTTTGGGTTTAAACATAGTTTCTTGGGAGTGATTGCAGCAGTGATGATTGCATTCCCTACTATGTTTGCTGTCACCTTTGCGTATGCGATCAAGGTGTTTAACTTCCAAAAAAGATAGAACAATGCAACAAAGTTCATTTGAGCATTAGTGGTATAGCTTAGCAGTACTATTGTGTATGTGGCGGGACACTCCATGAATTTACTTCTCATTATTTTGTTTTCCATTTGATGTTTTGTAAAAAGAGATTTAATACTACGTATAATTTTTCTTCTTATTTTAGCAAATATACTACAAAAGCAATTAGATCTTATCCACACTTGATCCACTTTCACTTTTTGTATCACTTATTATTAATTATTATTGGGTAAATGTTATTCTAAACCAAAATAAAATGTTGTTATCTGCCTTCATAAATCAGTAACTAACCAAGCCCAATGAGTGGAATGTCATTGTGAACTAAATTATGATACATGATAATGTTTAGTATCCATAATTAGAGAGAAATTTGTTGTCCTGTGACAAATGGCCAAAGAAACCAATGTGACAGGAACTATGAATGGAAATAGAAGCAAAACTCTTGTTCAGGTGATAGAATACCAGCACCACTGCATTATAACTTTACCAATGATAATAAGAAAATGTGGGAAACGATATCCTAACCAGAATACCAGATCAATCATCAATGACTAGTTAGTTTGGTAGGGAGCTGTGTTTCTTCCTTTCCCTCTTAATTCCTTCCATGAGCTTATTTTCATGTTGGTAGATAGGAAAACTCTCAGTCTCACCCAACGAATATCAAATCCTTGGCATGTTATCAACCCCATGCAGTTTCCTTAATGATTGGACAGTTTCACAAAAAATGGACAATATTTAGAAGTGTATTCACAAAGGGCATATTTAACACTACTCATTTCTTCCCTGATTATTACAATTAATTTTATTCCAATAAACGAAACTACGGAATTCAGCATCCTTCTTTTTATTCTCCAGGTGCTTTTTCCCACTTTATTCCTTTATGCATACCAAACGATACGTAGCGGTTTGTTTGGATGGAGGGTTCTGATAGTTACATATATATCTTGTTATATCTTGTTATACATTTGAGATTTTATAATTATTGCAGAATAACATAATGGGTGATTATAACATTTCACTAATCCTTTATTCTTATGATCTACAAAAAAAACTTTTGATCAAGATATAGACTAGGGCCTTCATACCCTCAAGATGGACGTATACTCTGTAATACATTATTAAGAAGTGAAAGAAAAGAAACATGTACCTTTCAGCGGAAACCACAGCTTCTTGTCCAGCTGCTCCACTGTTTCCAAAACACTCCAAGTGTGCTTTATGCAGTAAATGCACCAATAAGAATGGGAAAATGATAGGGATGGTAGTATTTTCTCAAATATTAGCTTAAGGGGATGTTTGTTGGGGGACTTTGGAGGATTTTTGCTTTTCGTTTTACTACTTAATCCCCACTTGTTAGTCATAGACCAGAAAATAATCCTTCTTAGTCTTTTGTCATTTATGATTTTCTTCAAAAAAGAAGTCCTCAAATTGATCTGTGTTCAGAGAGAGAGAGTTTTTCATTACAACGTGAACATTCATGCTCCATGGTTAGACACCTGGGGTGTTGACAAAAGCATGTAAAGGGTATATATTATCAGGACTAAGAGGAAGTAGTCACTTGTTCCTCAATAAGATCCTTTATGTGGTTATATTCTAGAATTTGTTTCCGTGAACAAAAATGTACTCCCTCCGTCCCTTATAACTTTGCCAACTTTCCTTTTTTGGATGTCCCATTAACTTTGCCACTTTCCCTTTTAAGTAAAGAATTTGTGGTTCCAGTTAATTCTCTCTCTTCTGCACAAACCTCAATCACACAGTTTTTACTTTATTAATCCTCGTGCCGGTCAAACTTGGCAAAGTTATTAGGGACGGAGGGAGTACCTAGTATTAAGCTTTGAAGAATAAAACATAGTGACATCATGTAATGTGGTGTATAAAATTTTCGCCAAAGTCCTTGCAAATAGAAAGAAAGGTATTCTTAATGGATTAATAGCTGAAAATCAAAGTGCATTTGTGCCAGGTAGATCTATTGTTGCTTTCGAGACTCTACATTTTCTAAAACGAAAGAGACAGGGGAAGGAGGGATTTGTGGCCCTATGTTACCAGGTGGAGTTATGTTGTGAGATTGAAAGAATCATGAACAATTATTGGTGGTGGGGTGATGACTTTGATTTAAAAAAATGGTTTGAGATGGAAAAGTTGGTTGTTCATGTGTGTAACGAAATCAAAGGGTGGACTTGCCTTCCGTTGTTTAGAGGAATTCAATTTGGTTATGTTGGGAAAACAAGGATGGAAGTTGTTGACAAATCCCCAATCACTAGCAAGTTGGGTGATCAAGGCAAAACATTACCCAAACGGGTCATTTGTTGAGGCACATTTGGGTAGTAACCCGTCATTTAAATGGTGGAGTATTATGGCAGCACAAAGCGCTATCAAGGATAGTGTGTGTTGAAGAATTTGAAATAGCAGAGAGATTTCCGTTTGGAAGGACCCTTGGCTCCAAGATACGGGTTAGGGGAGAGAGTACAATCTGCTAGGCCAGAGGGGTCCTTGACATGAATGTGGCGGCTCTTGTAAAGGAAGATGGGAAAAGCTGGAATATTAATAGGGTAAAATCCTAAACGCGATATGAAAGTATGAAAGGCAGCAATATGAAAGGCTTTGGAACAAAGTAAAGGAGGCGGAAGCTGGCGAGGTTGCAAAATCCTTAAAGAGTTCTCTATTGTCCCGAAATGTATCCTCGAAGAAGCGCTGGGAAGAATCTTTCGGGCTATTAGAGAGAAACGCGGTTGATTTGAAGATCGTTAGAAGTTTGTGTGCAAATGGCATTCCATTCAATGTCTTACGCAACCTTCAGTTTATTGAAATGGTTAATGCTATAAAAAAAGGCACCGGAAGGATACAAGCCCCCTTCTAGTGAAAAGGCAAGAACGGTATTGCTCGATGAATGTGTTAGGGATGTTGAGAAAGACCTAACCCAAGTGAAAGACATGTGGTTACACAAGGAGTGTCAATTGTCTCGGATGGGTGGTCTAACGTGAAGCATAGGCCACTTATCAATGTTTTAGCGGTGAACTCCCGTGGTGCTATGTTCATGTATGCGGAAGATTTTTCCGGAGTTGAGAAATCTGGAGTTTAGATTTCTAAGTTTCTTCTTGGAGCTATTGACACGGTTGGACCAAGTAATGTGCTGCATGTAGTCACGGATAATGCGGCTAATTGTAAAGCGGCCTGGAGAGAGATCGAGAAGGTACATAAACATATTTTTGGTCTCCTTGTTGCGTGCATACTTTGAATTTAATTTTCAAAGACATGGCAAAAGAACTCCAATGGTTACAAAATACGTATAGAAGAGGCAAGACAATTGTTAAGTATTTTATTAACCATACCCATGCTTTAGCCATCTTTCGTGAAAACTCAAGGTTGGAGTTGTTAAAGGTTGCTAAAACCCGGTTTGCATCTCATTACATTTTGTTAAAAAGGGTGATGGATTGTAAGGAGGCTCTTGCCTCAACTATTTTTTGCAATTCTTGGAGGGAATGGGTGAGAAGTGGAGATGAAAATGCAAGAATTAATGGGACTAATGTTGCTGAAACTATTAAGAGTGATGATTTTTGGGATGATGTTAGGAATGTTTTGACAATTACTAAGCCGGTTTTTCTACTTATAAAATTTTGTGATGGTGATGGCCCAAAAATGGGTGAAATATATGAAAGGATGGATAATATGTTGGGGAAATAAAGGACATCATGGTGGATAATGTATATTCTTGTTATTACCCGGATACTGAGAAAATAATTGTAGCTAGATGGGAGAAGATGACAATCCCACTTCACTGTTTGGGGTTTGCATTAAACCCAAGGTTTTACGATAAATTCTATCCTGAAAAATTGGCTCCGGGTGGTATTGCAAGAAAGGCACCGAATCAAGATAAAGAGGTTGTGCTTGGTGTAATGGAAGCTTTCAAGAGAATTGCAGAAAGTCCAGAAGAGGAAAGGCTATTATGAGAGCAATTTGCTACATTCCATATGAAGAAGGGGATCTATTCAATGGTGGCAACATAAGCGGATTCCGTGACAATGGATGCAATTGATTGGTGGTCAACCTATGGAGCTGAAACACCGGAATTAGCCGAAGTAGCAAAGAAGGTGCTTTCACAACCGATTAGTAGCTCTTCGGCTGAAAGAAATTGGAGTACATATTCCTACATTCATAGTGTGAAGAGAAACCGGTTGAATTGCAAAAGAGCCGACAAATTGGTTTTCATTCACTCCAACATTCGACTCCAGTCACGGTTTTCAGAATCATATAAAGCCGGTCCACACAAATATTGGGACATCAATCCCGAGAGCACATACATAGAAGGCTCAAGTTCAAGACTCGAAGAAATGGCTTGGGAGAATCTAGAGGATGAAGACGTGGACAAGTGGAAAGGAAAGAGACCTCGAGTTGATTAGTCATGTACTTTTCTTGTTTGAACTTTAAATCAATGATTGTAGTACTGTTTTTCTGTTTTGATTTGAAATGTTTCTTGAATATTAATGTTTTTGCTTTTGATTAATGTTATGAGTTTATGTTATGAAATCCGTTTTTGTTCAATGCTGAAATCTGTATTCTATAATTCAGTTTTGTATTTTTATTATAGTACCAAAAAAATTAGGTACAACGTACCGAACATGTGGTACATCGTACCAAACGCGTACCGAAATGAACCTACCCCCTCCGAATCGGATACGCTAGATCTAGCGAACCGTATTCCCGTTCCTCGTTCCCGTATCGAACCGTACCGCGAACCATGTGACTATGGGTAAAATCCATTTTTCGGAAAGGGAGAGTTTTAAAATTTTGAGTATCCCGCAGAGTCTCAGACTTTTTTGGTGGTGTGGTAAGCTGAAGGGAAATTATTGAGTGCGTAGTTGCTATAGAAGGCTAATCGGTGAAGTTCAAGTTTCTAGTTGGGTAGGCGGGAATGCTGTCTGGAAGTACTTGCCTCCGTCGAAGGTCAAACATTTCTTTTGGCAAGTTGTTGCATGTATCTGAGGAGGAGGCATGTTTAGGTTCCGACCGAGTGTCCGATTTGTAAGTTGGCTAATATAAATGGTCTCCATTTATTTAGGGATCCTGAAACGCAAGCGTTTGGAAGAGGGTTGGAATTCCTAGTGCAGCAAGTGAATTAACTTTGGAAGGATCAAGGATGGCTTGAGGCAGTCCTTAAGATGCTGCCAATGGAAGAGCGTTGCAGGTTTATTATGTTTCTTTGGAGCATTTGAAAACTAAGAAATGGTGTTGTTTGGAAGGAAGAAAATTTCTCATCGGAGGGTGTTAAGAGAACCGTGATAGCAGCGTTGGATGGATGGCAAGCAGCCCAGAATTCAAGTAGCAAGTTGCAGCGGACAGCTGCTGGTCGTGGTGGGGAAATATGGAAGAATCCCAGGGAGAATTGGGTAAAAGTCAACATAGCAGCGGCTATAGATAGTGGTGGGTGTGGTCGGCGCATGTAGGGGTGGATAGCAATAGATCACGACAGGCAGTTTTTACGAGCACAAGGTCAGTCTTTAGAGGCTAATTGGACACCTTTAGAAACGGAAGCCTTAGGAGTTCGGGAAGCTTGATGAGCAAAAGATATTGGATGGGGTGGGATGGTTATAGAGACGGATGCTAGTATGGTCACGACAGGAATTCAAGGGGATCCTGGAAGCTCGTATGTAGGGGCAGTGCTGGAGGATATCTAATACTTGCTTGGGAAAAATACAGGTTGGAGTATTATTTGGTGTAGGCGGTCTATGAATCAAGCGGCTCATGCATTAGACTGAAATGATTCTTTTACAATTGTGTCAGTTTATATTGTAAGCCATTTGGCTAATGAGTTATTGGTTTAATTAATATATATGGCAACATTTCCCTTAAAAAAGATGACATCATGGATAGAGAAATTTACTGGGTCTAAGATTGTCTGTATAACCCATCCCCTAGCCCTCAACTCTGTGTCTGATGGCTCAAAACTGTTAAAGAAGACACTAACTGAGTGATGCCAGTTCCACACTTCCAGGCTTCCAGCCCTTAGCCCTCATCTCTTGATTTCTCACAAAAGCCTAATGCTCTGTTTGGATAGAGTGAAGTTAAGTAAACCTAGTGCAATAAAATAAACCTAAGTTTTAATAAAAATTAGGTTAACCTAAGTGAACCTAAGTCCATACGTAAAATAGTGTTTGGAAATATAGAAGGTGAACCTAGGTTAATGTAATAAATGTTGTTTGGATGAACGTACTTCAGGGGTGGACCCGGTCCGGTTCGGGCCTGGGCCCGGCCGGGCCTCGGGCCAGAAAACTGGGGCCCGAACCGCCGGTGGCCGGTTCCGGTTCCGGGCCAAACCGGGCCAGGCCGGGCCGGGCCAAACCGGTCCATTTTTTTGTGGTTCTCCTATTTAACACCCTACCCCTACCCCTCAACCCCAAACCACCTCAAATGGCCCAAAATACCTAATCCAACCCATAACTTAAAAAAAATTCAAAAAAAAAAAAAAATCCGGCCCGGACCAGGCCCGAACCGGCCGGGCCGGTTCACCTAAAGCAGGGCCCGAGCCCGGACCGCCCATCACCCGGGCCGGGCCAAACCGAACCGATGGACCCACCGGGCCCCGGGCCGGGCCGGGCCGGGCCAAACAGTAACCGGGCCGGGCCGGTTCCGGGTCGGGCCGCCCGGCCCGAGTCCACCCCTAAGGTACTCTAGCTCATTTTATGTTAAACGATAACTTAACCTCCAAAACCCCCCGATTCGGAGGTTCTTCAATTTAAGGTTCTTCCAGGTTCTCGGGAGTTAAGTGAAGTTAACACATAACCTAGGTTCTTGTTGCAAAAATACAAACAAACGGGGTTAACTAGAAATTGAACCTTCAATAACCTAGGTTAAACCCCTAACAAACAGGCCATAAATGTATGCTTTTGTGTATATTCATTTGTGTACATTGACAATTTGCCCAATAAGGATAAATTGTATGTGTGTACACAAAGAGTGTACAAATATAAATTTTGTTCCCACTTTGAAGTCTGGCACCCATAATGACGCACTAGTGCACTACAACATATTATTTCAAGTGCCAAAAACTTGGACGCGCTATATATTACTATGTCCCATGTTAGGGTTCTCTTGTATTTTTTTGGATGTTTTATTTAAAGGTTCTCATTTCTATTTTAAATCAAGCTCTTTGTTTCCCTCTCCATCAACAAGTAAAGTCTGTCCGAAAGTTACAAAAAATTAAATTTTCAAGTTTACACCACGCCCCAAATATAGATCATTTGGCAACCCGTCAAAGTATTTAACAATTTACAACAGCAACTGAATTAAGAAAAAAAAAGTTTGATGGAAAGCAGAACTTTGACAACAACAAGGCAACAACCCTCTTGTCCTCATAATGACTCCAGTTTAGTCAATTTGTGTTGCAACAGATATCATATGTTTTTCTAAATAAAAAAAAGGTGTAAATCAATGGCAATCACATCACCCTAATGAGGTATGTGATAGACTTCCCATGTCCCATTGCATCCAACTTCTTCATTGTCAACACCTTCCTTCTCAGAGTCCCACCAGCCACCTCCATTTGCATCTGAAAACAAATTAGTCAAGCTTTACCTTAGATGCTGAAACCATGGCTTAGAATAGAAAACATGCAGGAGAACTTTTTCAGAAGATGAACTGTAAGAGATGCATGTGACTTACAATGATTGAAGTAGGTAGTTGATTTCTCAGGAATTTCATGCCTCTTGCCATTTCTTTTTTGCTTGCTCTTTGAATCCTCTCCTAAGACTACCACTACCTTTCCAACAGATTGCTTATGACCATTACCTTATAATGGGAAAATTAAGGCATATAAGCTACCAAAGATACAGACCACACTAGAGCATAAAATTTAAGTCCAATTAAAAACATTCTTATTGCAAAAATATTTCTTTCATTGTTACAGTGGTTAGCTCCAGTTGGAATGACCTTGGCACTAGGTACTGAATATTCACCATTTTCAAGCTTCATTCCAACAGGTATATTATAAATAAGACAAGTACTTTTAATGAATCAAGACACTATTATATGGAGAAATGAAACTAGTAAGATTTTCCCTCCGACCAATTTGATATGCACAAAGCTCTTCATGTGGATTACATTAGTACACACACTAGTGAACGTTTGAGCAGGCTTAAGTATTAGCATTTGCAGCAGCCTGATGTAAATTATTCAATGCTGAAATGACTTATCTTTTTAATTATGTTCATTAATATTTATCGATATTTTCATCATTTGCAATGGAGCCAAAGACTCGCTATTTTTTGGCTTGGGAATATGATGGAATAAAGCAAAATGGCTCCCTAAACTATCTGCACTTCTTTGTTATGAAGCAGTAGTCCGTCCATGGAACTTTCGACGCGATTTCACTATGGGTCATCCGGAAACAGTCTCTTTGTGCTTTAGTACAGGGGTAAGATCTGCGTACACCGAAGGTGGGAGCCTGTGCTTTAGTACAGGGATAATTTATCGATAAATATTAATCATTCATTCATCATCATCATTAAGCACAAAGATATGCACATATCAAATTTAATTGCTAACTATAATTACTGACAATTAATTTAGCAAATTAAATTAATAATTAAATGAGTCGGGATTGCATAATGAAATGGTGTAGACCATTTCATAATTTCCTGTTTCAATAGATGTTTTGTTTTCAAAATAGTTTTAGCTAGGAAGTTAAGATGATGGAAATGTGCGACTAACAAGGCTCGTCTAAAGATAGCTAAACAGAGAAGACGCAGAACACTAGTAATTAAAGCACCATAGAATGGACAATGGAAAACCAAAAATAAACTGAGTAATATCACAAAGACATAAAATTCTAAAGTAGATTATGTCAATGGGGAAAATCTACTAACCTGCAAACACCTTTCTCCTTTTCATTGATCTTTCCATATCTTCCGAGCAGGAAGTCATTGTTTCATCACAACTACGATCCGTATCACCATGTTCTTCTCTTTTATCAGCTTGCTTAAGCTTTTCAAACATAATATCAAGAGAACAATGTTGACCTACACCTTTCTCCCCATTTTTTTCATCTTTATTACATAATTTAGTGTCGCCATTGCTTCCCTCTGGAGACAGAAACTGCTTGTCCTTCCTCTGTCAAAAATATTACACCCCCATGTCCTTCAGTTGACTATATAAACTTTGTACCATACGTAACAACTGCAACTATTTTACATGACTGCTAGTCAACAAAAATGCGTTCACATGAATTTTCCTCTTTCAAAAATCCATTACTCTGTAATGCATATGTCAACCAAAGCTTCAATGTTACTCCGTAAATAAAGAACATTGAAAGAGAGAGAAATAGAGGGTTTGAAAACTACCAAATAACGCTAATAGAGTTTGTCAAGTTCCATATATCCCATACAACCAGTGAGAAAAACTCATCATTGTAACTTGCAACTCTTTGATTTTTAGGCAGGTTTTCTATTTGGAGAGCATTAAATTGAATTTTGTGCATACTTACATCTAAAAATAGGGAATCTGCTGTCATAATACTATTATAACCGATAACAATATGACTAATTATATACATTAAAGTCTCTAACACAATGTATTACTTTAATTGTTTCTTTATTTTACAATTTTGTTTTAACAGCTAAAGAGGCCCAATATGCATAACAAGGGAAATATAATGGGTATATATGCACCTAGAAACACATTCAGGGCCAGTCCACCTAGAGAAACAAACATTAAGAACATGTGCACCTTTTTCCTTAAAATGAAATACCCATAATCCAAAAAGTGATAATGAGCATGGATAATTCATTTTGTGCAACCAGTAGGACTTCTTAAAATGAATTAAACATCTCAAAGACAGGGAAATTCTCAAATCCTGAAATCACTTTTATTACACATGTAAATCGAATTAAAATTTATACAGAACTAGATAAGCTAGGCCTCCTGTCATGTGGTAAAGAATCTGCTACCGTGATATTTTGTCCTACACTCCAACTGTCTATACCTTCTGTGGTAAATTTTACTGAGTTCAAGTAAAGCTTGGTAAACCAGAATAGATAGAGTTTCAGTTCAAGATTTGTGAAAAATTACCTTAACTGAACCAGGTAAAACAGAAGCTTTGTCCAATTTTTTGTTGAGGAAGTCGGAGAGAGAGATAGTTGGACGCTTTTCACTGGGAGATTTAATTTCGACATCTTTTTTTCTATCATTTGACCTAAAAGTATGAAAATGCTTGAAATTATGAAACCCAAAATGCAATTCGCGTTTCAAAAAAAGAAAACCTAATACGCATACCGAGCAGAATGGTGTAAGCGGAAAGTTGAAGTAATCGAGCGCTGCCCCACCACACGGATCGAAGTTTGCTTTGAGTTCATCTTTCGGGGAAGTTCTGAAGTGATATAAAAATAGAGTTCATTCACCTTTCCCATCTCTCGCCCTCACTTTCCTCCATCCCCCGCCCCCTTTTTGTAAGGAAACGAATCCGAGCGAAAACTTACTTACAGTGATGAGCTCCCCATGAAGGAAGGACCTTCGACTAATTCTATCGACCGGGACTGTGAGACTCCGAGAGCTGACTGAAACTCCTCTGTGTGGCAGCGAAGGAGGTCGTCTTCGGACCTGATGGAAAAGACCTTTTTGGCGCGCCTCAACTTACGCTTAGCGCGCCTTTTTGGGTTTTTTACTATTGGACAATTTTGTCCAATTCCGTTTCATTTTTGTGACTCAATCTACCAATTAAAAAAACACTTATTTACCTTTTGGCTTAAAAAATCATTTATTTACAAAAGTTCCAATATTACCTTTTGGCTTAACTTGAGGAGTGAATATACATGGTTTTACAATTTAGTTTAGTTTATATTCATGTTTAGTTAAAAATGGAGTTTTTCCTTTTAACAATTTCAGTTTTTTTTAATGTAACACGCTAAACATTGTTAACTAAATGCAATTTTTTAAGATTAGAAGAGGTGAAATTGCATTTTTTATACTTTAATACATACTCATTTCTTTTTTTTGGGTATAGTTCTTTTTCCTTGATATCTTCTATCCTTAGAAAAGAACCCGTTTGGTGACTTTGTTTTTCAACCAATCACGTAACTTTTGATTTCGCGCGTCGAATTGAGTAATAATAAAAAAAAGTAAGGTTGAAGTTACTTTTGTGATTCTATTGGCTGAAGTTGTAGATGCCCATTTTAGCTACTTTTCATATAATTTGTTCTTAATGTTATTAATAAAATTTATTTTAAATATAATTTTTTTCATAAATCAGTAGAATTAGTTGATACAACCACTTTAGCCATAATTTAAAAAAATTCACCAGTATTAGCCGATTCATCCGATTTCAGTGTTACCAAACAAGCTCTAAGACTTTAAACGGTAATTGTAGCGGAGTGTTCATTCAGAAGAGAAAATTCACTAAATCCATTGCAAATCAAATCCAAAATTTTGTATTTTGTAGTTTGTTTCATATAAGATCTTGAGGGTACTTTGTATACTTGATAGGTTTTTTGTTGGTTCTTCTGTACTTCATGCCTATTAAGATGTATTCTTGAAGAGACTAGAAGACTTTTTTATTGCACCAATTCCGAGGAGAAGTTGTACTGATGAGATTAGTTGATAATTTTGAACAAAGGATTCATACCGAGTCATCATAAGGCTCCACATCTTTTCTTTATATGATTAGATAGAGTTTTTTCGCCAATCAGTTGAAATCATTAGAGAATAGAGAAGTTTCATGTAACTCTAACATAATATCATACTCACACAATGGTGTTCTAGAAATTTCGGTAACCTGTAATAGATTGGGTTATTAAAACTTCAGGCCAGAAAAAGGATACTTTGTATACTCAATTGGTTTTTGGGTAGTTTGTATACTCAATAGGTTTTCTGTTGGTTATTTTTGTATTTCATGCCTATTAAAATGTATTTCAAAAGAGGCTTAAATTCTTTTTTGCTTGCATCAGTTACGAGGAGAAATCATGTTGATAAGTTCAGTTGATAACTTTGAGAAAAAGATTCATTCAGAGTCACGTTGATAAGTTCAGTTGATAACTTTGAGAAAAAGATTCATTGAGAGTCACGATATGCCTCCACATCTTTTCTTTATTTGATTTTGTTGAGATGATAAAAAGGTTGACACTTGCTCAAACTCAAGAATGTGTATTTCATAATATTATTGCAAATGGGAAAATATATACACACTTGCAGAATCCTTTGTTCTACTTGACAGCTTTGTACGTAATTTATTAGGTTGTTATCCCGTGCAACGTATGAGTAAAAGACTAGTTTCATATTAAACTCTCAAATTTAACATATCTTGAAGCATGTGTCACTCAATCAAAATATGTTGATGTTCCAATCAACTATTCATTTATATGTAGTTCCAATATTACCTTTTGGCTTAAAAAAGCACTTATTTACTAAATACTACCCATTTTTACTTTTTCTCGGCTTGCGTGTGAAAAGTGTTTTTCCCTTTTCTATTACACAAAAAACACTTATTTTTCCAAACACTGTCAACTTTTACTTTTCAAAATCACTTTTTTCTCAAACACTATCAACTTTTATTGTTAATCATTTTTTCCTTACATCTTCAAAAGTACTTTTTTTAAGCAAAAGCAGTTTCAAACACTCCCTAAGGGCTGTATTCAATATGGATCGTTGTGTACATTTTTTAATGAGTCCTGTTGGGGTACCCCAATTTGTACCTCAATCTGTACACTGTCTGTGTACACAGACATTTGGACAGAAAGTTATGCCCTCTTTCAAACGAATTGTCTGTGTACACAGGCAATTCAGGGGTGGGTACAAAATGGGGTACATTTTGGGGTACCTATAGATTTTTTGTTTTTTAATTCATGAACTTTTAAAAAAGTCAATAGACTTTTAAATTCATGGATAAGTTTATTGACATTCAAAACATCCATAGACTTTTAAATGCGGATTGCCACTGCTGGTCGTCAGAATTTTCATCTAGATTGTCGCTACCGATATGCCTGTGACCAGTCCGCCTCCATCACCGAAGTTCCCCGTTGTCGTCATCGAACTGACCCGCCACCAACAAAATGGCTTTGGTTATGAAAGGGAACTAGGAACAATTAATTATATTATTTAATTAAATAAGGGGTGAATATGTAATATTTATTCCTATTTAATTACAAACTGTGGAATTCTATTAAAATTTATGGAATTAAAAATCTTCAAAATCCTTTAAAATCTAGGTTGGGGACACCCCCCTTAATTCGTACGGAGTATTACATATTCTCCTTCTACTTTCACTAATTTGTTTGGCAACTTTGTTACTTATACTCGATCACTCTTATACTCACCAATGTGAAAAAACTATTTTTCTATCAGTGAATTCCGTTCACGGACAAAACATGTCTTGTTTTGTCTGAAAATGTTCACAAGAAATAGTCTTCTCACATTGGTGGGTGTAAAGGGTGGGTATGAACAAAACTCTTCTTTGTTCAGATGTCACTTCATTTACACTTTACACCACTTTGTGTATATAAATCATTTTTTTTCTTTTCTTATCGAGCTACTCTAAGTCTCTAACACAGTAACACATAGTGTTAAGATTTATTTGGGAAAATATAATTTCTTATTACTACTCTGTATTGGATTAATATATTTATAATTTTCCAAGTTTTTCAATATTAAAAATATATAGCCGTTTCTAACTTTTTATCATGTTTTTTTTTATCATGTTTAGAGTTCTTGCTTACATAGGGTTTAGTTATTCCGCTGCATAAGCGTGCGCCCAGCTTTTCCCTTGTCATGGGGATGGGGAAGCTTGTTTCTTGGTTTTGGATTATCGATCAATACTTAAGGTACAACAGTGACCAGGAGAAACTCTCCATAGCAGTCTTCCTTGTGCTTGGAGCAAGACTTGCAACCGCGACGGCGCCTGCAACGGCGGCCGCTACACTTGTGGTATCAATCTGTTTTGGCCTTCATTCTCTTGGTCTTAGAGGAAGAAGATGAAGTGTTGATGATCCGACCTCCTCCCATGCTGATGCCATGGAGAGAACGAGTGACTCAGGTTTGCTTTGGTTTTATTTAGAGTTTTGTTTTTATTTCGATAGACTGTTTATCTTGAGTTGTCTAGTTTAGCTATGATCAGAAGTATTGAGATCTCTTCAGCTATTGATTGCTTCGTACTTCCCGCATGTTCAGTGAAAAGGTTCACTTAATTTTGAGTGAACTTTTATATGCTTGGTCAGGGACTGAGGGCATATTTTGGTTATTATGAGTCTAGCTAGTGAAGTGGTAAAGAGTACGGTGACCTTGAATGTCAGAAAGAACTCTATGTTGCTCACTCGGTGGTTAGCGATTCGCGTTGCTTTTTTGAAGGTGACCGTCTCAGATCTAATCGTAGGCCGCTTCTTGAGTTTATTGGATGGGGTTTGTTAGAAGATAAGTGGTGGATTTTGAGATATCAGGTAATTGTAACACTTGATTTGTTTGGTATTTTAATATATAATTAAGTTTCTTTTCTCGTGTGATTATAGTTATTGTTAGGATTACTCATGCACAACTTCCAGAATATATAATAACAAAAATAAGTCATGTAGTAGACATTTAGATGGTGATATCAAATACAAAAATGTTAAAGCACACGGGGTACCGTGGGAGAGTTATATAAAAGTAAAGTATTTATGGAAAAATACCTTTTCCAATCTTCACAACAATTACCTACACATTCCAAACATTTTTATCTATATGTTATTTCAACAATTACATTAGGAAACTAACGTCTTTATATGTTGTTTCACATATCTTTTAGAGCTTTACTTACATGCATACATATTCATTGTTCTTCAATCCCTATGAACAACTCGTTCAAATGAAATAAATAAATTTCTTGTTTTCTCTTTCGGCTCGGTAGCACATAGTGGTTGAATATTGGTCATATGTATTCAAATACTAGAGTCTTTTATGCGCAATGCGAGAGAGTGAATGCCCAACAATACAATTTATCAATGCCCAATCGCAATTTATACTGGAACAACAACATCTATCTATATCTATATATACATGGGAAAAAGTGCAAATAGGCCCATGTACTAACCAAAAAAGGTCAAATAAACCCTTATTTAGGAGGCTTTGTCCGGCCGTCGCCATTTGGAGTGGTTCACGGTGGAATTTTTTGATGAAATTTTTTGAGCATCTTATTCATTAAGTCTAGTTTACTCATACCAAATTTCAACTAAACCTTCAATCGGGAAGGCATTCAAATGAACTCTTGAAGATAATTGCGCTTCTAACTGTTGTACGTATTAAGGATTCGAGTTTTTTTCCTAATTAATGCTGAAAAACAATTATTTATCAAATTATGGTTCAGTTAAAAGTATATACGAAAATGCTGTTGGGTTAAACTAGAGTTAGCTTACCTTTATAATACGTAAAGGACAGGAGCCAAAGGAAATGACCGTCATGCGTAGGACGGTAGGATGCCACACGTAGGAGAGAGAAAGTGTGGATCATGTTAAAAAATCTCCATTTTCTCTAAATTGCTATAACTTTTGTGTTTTATTCCAAATTTTATAAAATCTACATCAAATTTCATAATTTTTTATTACCTTTCATATGACACCAATATGTCATATATAAAGTTTACAAAATTTGAAGACATATAACTAGGGATTACAATTGTGACTGATCCGTTAGACACCCACACCGAACCGCTCCTATCAAAATAGATAAAACCGCATCGACCGAGTAACGAGTACGAGGCGGCGAATAGCTGCGGTTATACGTGTTACCCGCTCCGATCATTTATACTCCGTATTAAATGATCAATGACTCATTTAATAAAGTAATTACTCATGGTTATATTCGTTACCCATTGGAGCGGTTGTGATTTGAGTAAAAATTATCTGTTGGATAATGAGGCGGTTACGGTCTACGGGGTGGGCGAATTACCCAATAGGGCGGGTACGATTATGAGCCCGTTTGGTAACACTAAAATTGGGTGAATTTGCTGATTCTGCTGAAATTTATGAAGTTATGACTGAAGTGGTTGTATTGGCTGATTCACGAAAAAAAATATTTTTTATTAATAAATTAAAAAAAAAATTAAATGGAAAATAGCTAAAATGATCCTCTACATTCACTTCAGTCAATACAACCATAAAAGTAACTTCAACCTTAGTTTTTTTGCTTATTACAAAATTCAAAGCACGAAATCAAAAGTTACGTGTTTGGTGAAAAAATTGGTTGATAAGCCTGATAAGCCTAAAAAAGGAATCACCAAACGGGCTCGATATGTAAAATCGTCATTGATCCGCCCCATTGTCATCCCTACGTATAACATGAAAGCTAGACTCAACCGGTCAACAAATTTAATTCTAAACAAATTTTTAGTTTATAAAAATCAAAAGACCCAATTAGAATAGTTTTCTAGACTCAGATATTTTCTTAAATAGAATGAACTGCAAAATTAAGATCTCATAATTATGTTTACATCTTTCATCTATTTTATTTCATTTGAAGTGATGAAAAGTAGTTATAACATTATATTTTGCAAACATTTACATCTTCCAAATATTCTCGTCATCTTTAACGTATTTGTAACCATGTTACGTCACCACAAGTGATTCAAAACTATTCAAAGATGTAAATATTTTTTTAAAAAATAACCTTTTATAAAATGCGAAAATAATCATTGTATCTTAATTTTAGCACTTTGATTTATTTATGAAAAATGTTGTGTCTGAAAAACTCTATCAACCATTCATTGAGATTTTTGTAAAAAATATTGGTTTAGAATTAGATTGATTGAACGGGCTTTGTTACAGTTTGTCCATTTATTTCAGTTTTTCTTTTTAAATTTTATATATGATATTGGTGTCATATGAAAGATCATAAAAAGTTATGAAAATTGATATATTTTTATAAACTTTGGAGCAAAAATATAAAATTTATTACAGGTTAAAGAAAAGGAGAATTGTTTTTTGACTTGGCCCCACTAATCCATCTCTCCTGCGTAATTCCTACGTTCCACTTCCAATTCGTTCCACTCTCTTAACCATAGTTTAATTGGGCAGTACTTTCGTAAATATTTCTAACTCAACATTAATTTGGTAAATAATTCTTTTCTTAGCATTAATTAGGAAAAAAACTCTAAGGATTCTGCTCACAAAAAAAAGGATTCTGCTCACTCGAGAAATTAAAATATCATGGTCCCAAGTTGATGAGTTAGTGCACATGTTAAAATAAAGATGTTCAATTTCTATTGGTCAAAAAAATGGTGCAACAGCTGTCATTAAAATGATTGGTTAAGAAAAGATTTGAACACTGTTCACAGAAATAAAGGACGGCCGGATCAGCTCATTTGTGAAATAAAAGTGGTATTTCTATTGGTTAGAGATGTGGTGACACTGTTCAATAAGATATTTCTATATCTTAAGGTGATGCCATTGGCTAAAACAAACGGTGGCCACTGTTTATCTTATTTTCTATTGGTTCATGGTGTGAATAGTCAAAAGTAAGTTCTATTGGTTGAAAATTAACTGACCATGGTAATTGCACATATAGCATAGTTTCACCTATAAACGCAGCCTCCGGGCATGACTCTTCCCACCAATACACATCAAGCTGAATTTCTACTCCATAGAAATTCTACTCCGTGAGAGAACTCTGGATCTACCTGTCAAAATATAATACTCTATTACATAGAACACTTTTGTAGGATATTTTCTACTCTGTAATCATGTATTTGTGTGTAGGAATATTTTGATAATATCCTTCCAAATTGAAGGACAGTTGATGGTTTTCTTTCAGACTCCGGAGTTGAATGATGAAGACTATCCTAAATGACAATGAGTAAATGATGCTGAGCAAAACACAAGAAGATCCACAGAGCCTATATTAAACTATTGAAGATGAGATTCTTCAAATACTCTGTAGTACATCTGTGCATATATATCCTAATATAGGTAAATCATTGTATATTTGATTGTGTGTGCATGTGCATAAAGTGTTTCATCTATATAATGTTTAAAAAGTGTAAATTGTTATACAAAAACAATTCCAGATACAGTTTGGCATAAGTTGCTATCAAGAAAAGCATATACGTAGTATATACTTCCTAGAGTCCTGGTGTATACATGTATTTCGGGTAGATGATTCATCTTGGTTAAACTTCCAAACTAAATGATAAGCTCATTTGGAAAGTAATGGATAGCTCAATTGTAATCTTTTAAAATATCCTTACATATAAATTCCAAAAGGATGGGGCATATGTTTTTAAAATTAAATGGAAATTGGAAAAGATAAATGTATTTACCACATCGCAGAAACATCAACAAGCAATTTAAGAACTTGAATGTTTGGGTTTCTCCGTGTCTGGCCCTACAGCATGTTTCAACACGAGCGAGGGGCGAAGGTATTTTGAGGATTGGGTTGGAAACGCTCTCACCGCCGGAGACGCCATAGGCCGTTATAGGAGACCTTCACTGCGAACTGACTGACCTACATATGGAAGGATTTATGCCACTTTTACACAAAGCACACAAATCAGAGAAAAAAATCAATGGAGACTGCCCTCACCTTTCCCCTTAATCCTTAACACAGATGCGTCCTTCCATGGTCCAACAGCAGGAGGGGGGGCATTCTGGGAGGCAACGATGGTCGGTTTTGTCAATTCACTACTCTTACGATCTCCGCAGTAGATCCACTCCACGCTGAATTTAAAGCAATCGACACCTCCATAAAAATTTTCACGAAAATGGGTTATAATTCATTCCAAGATCAGACCGACTCTCAGATTAGTTTTAAATTGATTATAGGGATTGGAACCGTACCTGACTACCTCCGGCAGACTATGGCTAGAATCAACCGCAACACAATCACCCACAACATCAACTTCCACCATCGTCGAAGAGAACCAAACACTGCACCGTTGCACATGTCTTGGCTAAATCCGGTCTCCACGCCTCAGGGTCTCTCTCTTTCACACTCAACTCACTCCCAACGATCTATGCAGAGTTTCTCTCTTCAAAGACGCCGGCTGAATGTGCGGCTGGAACTTAGAATATTCTGGAGTTTGGAACTGATTCTGATTCTTTTTTAAAAGTAGAAGCAGAATCAGAATCAGTTTTCAGAAGCTGGTACCCCCAGCTTCTAAAAAAAACTGATTCTGAGAGTAAATTAGAGATCCAGAAGTGCTTCTGGAATTTCACTCAAACACTCCAGCTTCTGCTTCTGCTCCATGAAGGAGCAGAATCAGTTTTGAGAATCAGATCCAAACACCCATATACTCCATTACTCCGTATGTGGGATGCTGCACTGTTTGAATCTTTCATTTATTTCTTGGGACGGTTGAGTCTTCCTCTTCATTTGGATCTATGTACCTTGGATCCGTTTTGTATATGGGAAAATGGAAACTAATAATCCAACCTTTTAGCGGTCTTCTTTCAATAATCCCACCTTTTGATTATTCATGAATAATCCAACCTTTGCACCTCATCTTCATTCACTGGTCTCTGACCGGTTGATGACCTGCTATTCCAAGCTATTTTCTTATCTTTGCAAATCATTATACCATAAATCTCATCTTTCACAAAGATAATATTTTGGAAAGATAAGAAAATAACTTGGAATAGTAGGTCATTAACCGACCAGGGACCAATGAATGAAGATGAGGTGCAAAGGTCGGATTATTCATGAATAATCAAAAGGTGGGATTATTGAAAGAAGACCGCTAAAAGGTTGGATTATTAATTTCCATTTTCCCTTTGTATATTAGACTTTGGGCCGGAATCTTTAAATCCCTCTATTGTTTCTTAATGAATTTTATTAAAGTTCTAAAGTTTAGGTGAATTTGGCCGTCATTCACTATATATAACTTTAAGCAATTGAAACCATTAAAATTCGGATTTCAATACCCAAAGGGAAAAAGGCAATGTTTTTATATACTACGTAGTACTTACTCCGTATTTGTTAAGAATAAAAATATATTAAAAAGTACTACGTAATATATTTTTGAATCAGTTCAATATGTTAGAATTGACAAAATCTAATTGAAGTGACTGCATTGGTTGAATTTATCGAACCACAAAAAAAAATACATTAGAAAAATAGAAAAAGAACATTTAAAATATATCTTATTAATAAAATTAAGAAAAAATAGAAAGTATTCCAAAATATTTATGAAATAAAAAATATTTATAAAAAATGCTAAAATAAAAATAATTTACGAAAATGTATTAAATATCTAAAAGCAAAATGTTTTTTGCTACAGGATTTCTGCTAAAAAACAACAACATCAAGAAAGTACAGGAGAAATAGTGAAAAAGATAAAGAAATAAAATAATTACATGAAGTAAAATTTCATGGACCATAAAAGTGGAGTGCAATCCATGCGGGCATATAGAGTAGGAAAGTTGAGCAAAGAACGAAAACTTAAGGACAACGGTACAGTGCATCAACGAAAATTTAAAGACAACAGTCCAGTGCATCGACGGTACAGTACAAATAATATTGATAAACGCAAATACATGACTCTCACCAATAGACTTTTTGTGTGTTATTAAATCTTTTCAAATAAAAACTTCTTTGAAGATGTATGTTTTATGTAGATACAATATAATTGAATATAAAGTTCATTGACAAAAAATTTTAAAAAATTGAAGCGACTGAATAGAAAACGTAATCAACAATATCAACAGATCTACCTGATCTGTAGGCTCACTACGGCGGGTGATTTCGCTACCGTATAGTGGGGGGTTGTGATCTTACCGTTGCCATGTAAATTGATCTATACGACATTAGTGGGTGACCTACTGCGGACCATCAATGTCTTCATCCTTGGAGGTTCTGGGTTTTGGCGGACCATTGGCGGACAATGAGTAGAGGAATTCCACTGAGTCACTTGCTTTCGTCGGCTTCAAGTTAGGGAATTTCGATTTTCTTTGTAGTGGGTTGTAGAGAATGTCTTAGTCAGCCACATGAATGAAGGGTTTGATTCTCCTACTGAATGGACTAATGAGGAGCCGAGTGGTGAGGGATGCATTTTATTGGGCCTCAAACTTTCTAACGGCAATGGACTAATAATGAAAAGCCTGTTAAAATGCAAGGTCCCTGGAACTTGGTTAGGCAATGGCCCCTGCTCACAAGTTGCCAAATATGGTTACCCATTTCCACATATTTGCACCCCCTGAATTGCCTGTTTACCCCGGCAATTCGTTAAAAACAATGCAATTCGTATATCCCTATTACTTATTTGCTAAAATAGTTTACCTTCAATTAAATTATTTTTGAAAAGGGAAAATTCTTTGACAAAATCATTTGTGTGAGACAGAAACTGTCAATTCCCAAACATTCTTAAACAATTTCATATGTTAGCTTATCATTCCAATTTCGGAAGCGATAATACCCAAACATGACTATAAATAAAAATTAAAACAATCAGTTGTGTTTTGAAAAAACATGTTTTAGTCGTGATTAACTTTATGCAGTTGTGAAAAAACATGTTTTAGTCGTGATTAACTTTATGCAGTTGTGTTTAAAGTAACCAATCTCTGACCATACAAAATATACATTGCAAACAACGACAGAGAAGTGGCACAGACAGTGATATCAAGAATTTGTGTATAAAGAATTGAAGTGTTTCATAATGTTTTTGAATGAAATATAATAGGGTAGTTTGGATTCAACATTTCATCCTCAACACGATGTTTTTTGGAATGATTTATTTGTTAAAAGATTGGCGATTTGGCTAGAAAGCCAATAATGAAGAGGTTTTCAAATTATTTTTATACTTTGTGTTACTATTTTTGTGGGGCTATAAAAAAATTGAGTACTACTCCGCAATCATTGGAAAATTGTATTAAGTACTACCATTGTCCCGTTAAAAGTTTCATATGGCAAAAAGACACGGTTATTAAAACAATAATTGAATAAGACAGTTTGAGTTTATATCAAGAAATAATTTTAATGGGTTTATGTTATAATGAGATTAGTGTTGATAACTGTGATATTATAAATGTATTATTTTTAATACTTAGTGAATAATATGTCATTTAGGATTGTCAATTGTTTTTAAAATGAAAATGAGTACCTTTCTATGAAACGGAGGGAGTATATTTCATTTTATGTCAAATTGTATCATAATATAATTCTAAACTATTCAATTGAAATGACAAATTCGATTTTATTTCTAATTTCACTACAATTTTATAGATGAGATTTCACCAACCGTGCATCGCACGGGTGTTCTACTAGATATCAATAATATAAATGATGCTTATATTTGAGTATTGTTTAGTAATGTCATAACACACTTTCACATATTTGCACACCCCCTGATTTGCCAATTTACCCAGGCAATTCGTGGAAAGAACGTAATTCTCATAAATACATAGTCACCATATTACTTTAGATGTTTATACTTAGACTTATTTCAGTCTCAGACCAAACCAAACTTAAACAAACCAGACCAGATCATACTTGGATATTAGAAATAGTAGAAGCACCGATTTGAACATTTTCCCATAAATTTAGATTCAAATATGGTTCAAGAATGACATAACATACTTTCACATATTTTACTCCTTTATTTTACCTATTTAGAGAGACAATTCGTCTAAAAAATGCAATTTGTGTAAATTTATAGTCACCTTATTACTTAGTAATTATAAATAATTTAGCTTCAATTAATTTTTGTACATGTAAACCTTTAAAATGAAAAAACTGTCAAAATCATTTGCGCATTGCAAGGTGAATTACTAGCAAACCATTTTACTAAAAGAAATGATTTTGACATAAGTTAGTGCGAGCTAAAATGTGTTGATTCCTAAGCATTCCTATTAACAACTTCAAATGTTAGCAGATAATATGTTATGACTATAAATAAAAGTCAATGTCAATCTTTGTCCCGTGTTGGGTTGTTGTTAAAAAAACCGGTATTTACCCACGGACAGTTGTATGTTGCAGTATCAAGGGTTACCAATCGTTGTCGTTTGAAAATTCTAATTGTTGATGAAGATGGAGGAACCACTGACAAGACTCAGAATGTTGTATTCAGAGAAGTGTTCAACAATGTTTAGATTTACATTAAATGCATATTTACAATGTTATGATTTCAACGTATTTGTTGGATGTTTTTGATCTTTTAAGTCATGCTTAGTACTCTCATTTTGACAATAATATTATAAGTGTATTTCGTTTAATGATTTTATGTATATCAATATTACATGAAGATGGATAATGTCATCAATTGATAGTGTGATTTGAATTACTAAGCATACATAAATTTGAAAAAAAAAATCTCAAACCGTGCATCGCACGGGTGAGTTTACTAGTTCTCTATTACTCCACTCAATCTCCTTATTAACAGTATGTCATTTTTTAATATCCTTTACCTTCCTTGGTTCTCCAGGTGCCTTCCAGTGTGAGTTACGTAACTCCATTAGAGTACTTCATATTACTTTTAAATGATGATAAAGAACTGGTCGATCTTTTCTAGCTTGCGAGGCTTTCAGATTTATGGAGTCAATCTCAGCAATTCCAGCTTCTACTTTCAGAGAGTTCATCTCAACCAATCTCCTCATTATTAATTGGTTAGTATTATATCCCAAATTATCTATTTAGGTTTATTTTTGACATGCCCTAAAACCTGGAGAAGTTACTTGAGGGTTCATCCCAAATCTCCCAAATTTAACTCTTAGAATTTTCTTGAGTTTTCATCTAAACCCTATTTAAACTTTCATTTACATAGGAATCCATCAGTCCTCCGATAGCTCCAAATGCTCCAATTTTTTTTAAATGGCTATACTTTGAGAATACGAAGATTATAAGTAGTGAAGCATTTTTGTATAATATATACTCCAATCGTTCTTGATATAATTTGGGTGATGGCAATAAGTGAAAAAGGGCTTCTGTATATACAAGTTTAGTTAGAAACTGGAGTCATTAAGTCAACTTTATCTCTTTTATCATCATCATCATATATCTCTAACATTTCATTTACCTTAAAAGTGAAAAAGGGTTTCTTTATATACATGTTTAGTTAGA